GATTCCATAGTAAATTATCAGGGAAAAACCAGGAAAAAAACCTCATAATATTATCCCGACATGGTAAGTATTTGTTCGTGAATTTAGTTTACCTTCAACAAACACCAAAATTCTGATTTTATATGTTTCGTTATTTACGTTATTTCGTTATTTCATGGATCTGGTTACCAATATTGAAAGAGGAAGTTATTAATAAGAAAATACCAGTACTAGTAAGTCAGTAACATATAGAAGATACATCATTCATGTTTTTTAAATAACGAAACATATAAAATCAGAATTTTGGTGTTTGTTGAAGGTAAACTAAATTCACGAATAAATACTTACCATGTCGGGATAGTATTATGAGGTTTTTTTCCTGGTTTTTCCCTCATAATTTACTATGGAATTACTAACAGGAGAATTTTACTGTCATCATGTCATGTGTTTGTCTTTTTAAGACGAATTACATGCTATGATTTTTTTCTGACGGATATTCTCAAGTTAAAGTTGATTTCATGTAATCGAATGAACTATCTTATAAGTAAAGTCGTCGCAGGAGCGCAACTCAACAATATTGGCAATATCATTTTAAAGTCGTCTACTTTAAAATGCATAATGTATGTCTGAATTGTCAATATAAATGAGTCAGATAAAATTAAATTATTAGAAGAATTTTTCACTATGTAACAAAAAAACAAAATTTGTTTAATGTACTGTTTGTATTTTGAGAACGATTTCCGAAGTGGAAATTGAAACGTCAATAAACGTATTTTTATCTTTAATTGTGGCTTATTCCCAGTTAAATAGTAATTAATTTAAAATGCCACAAGAAAATAGCTTCAGAACAATATTAAGAAATCACTATGATATTTGTTACTGTTCTATTAATTTTATTAATACATTTATTTCATTGTTTCTTCGAAAAAAGTTACCCATTCGTATTTGCGCAATTTTTAATTAGTGGTTTCAGATACTTATGTACATTTATAAATAGCCACTTGAGGTGAAAATTAGAAAACTAAATAAAGAATAGTATCTACCAATGAGATATTTACAAAACAAATTAAATATTAGCATAATTACATAAATACACTACTTCTGTTAGTAAAATGCAGATTTGTCTAATTACAGAATATATTAGAAATCGGTACACAGAAACTGTTTTGAAAAATTTGGTATTAATGTCAATGTAAGTAAAATTTTTTGTCTGGCATGCACATGTTTGCATCAAGAAAATGAGCGATCCTGGGTTACAACATCTTAGACATGAAAATTTTGTCTCTGAGTCTTCTTCTTTTTGTGCCACTCCTATCGGAGATTGGAAATCATCAAGGCTATTCTGACCTTGTTTACGGCTGACCTAAAGAGTTCATTAGTGGTGCAGTCAAACCACTCTCTCAAATTCCGCAACCATGACATTCTTCTACGGCCTGGATTCCGTTTTCCTTCTATTTTTCCCTGCATTATATTTTGAAGTAACGCGTATTTATGTCCTCTCATCAGGTGACCAAAATATTCGAGTTTTCTTTGCTTTAGCGTTAACAAAATATCTGGAACAGGAAAATACCCAGAGATTTTGTTAACCCAGAGATTTTGTCTCTGAGTAGGAATATTGAAATTAAATTATTTAAAGACCTAACAAATTATATCGTATCTTTTCAGCTACATTCAGTCACACTGTTACTTCAGAATTATGATAGATTATACGAGGATTTTTGAAAAATTCTTACCTACTATAGACAAAAAACTTTGAAATATTTTATTATTTAACACACTCTCGTTTAAATAATTTATTATAACGAACCTGCAACGCCTATAGACCTTTAACGCTTTCTATCCGTGCCTATACAATTGTGTAGGCTATTTTTAACGTACCCTCGTATACGTACAGTGTAGTTTTAAACGTTCCGAACGAGCGACGATAGTTGTGTAGGTATCACACAACAACGTTGATTCATGTCTGGGCCACGTGCTTTTAGGTTGGCGGGATATTAGTATGAATTAGTTCTTCACGATGAAAGGCCGAAATTTTCGTCAAAAATGTAAGTGTTTTATATAGTGAAGAAGCTTTTTTAACCAGTTTGTCACATTTAATATTAGTATAGCCAAATAATGGCAGTGATTTCTTGTTGAATTTTAACATAGTTTTTTTTAGAAAATTAACTTTCTATTTCTACTTACACATTTGTGCAGTTTGGGATTAACTGTGTTTTTTTTATTTTAGATTTCTTGTACAAGCAAAAAGATGTCGATGAACTTCTTAGGATAGAAGACTCAGAGGTAGAAGGTTTTAGCGACGATTCGGCAGACAGAGGCTCAGGAACCTTCTAGGATTCTGGCAGAGAGCGATTACGATTCGGATAGTAACGACCAGGAAATTCAGCCGCCAAACGAAAACTTGGTAAGAAACGAACCTATTCTATATGAATTTGAAAATGAACCACAGCAAAATGATGAAAATAAAAAAAAAGAACAAAAATTTTCTTGGTCAAAAGCCGTTCGTTTTACCAGTGTCGAGGATAAACCAAAGAAAGAAAATTTGTTTGCAAACCAACACGGAAATATTGAAACTTCTCTAAAATATTTTTTAAAATATTTTCCAAACGACATTTTTGTCCAAGCAGCCTTATATTCTAATATGTATTCAGTCAAAAAAAAAAAAAGGGAAAGCATTAAATACGACATCAGCTGAAATCAAAAAACTGTTCGGAGCCCATTTGCTCTTTGGTTGTACTCGGTATCCTCGTTTATCCTGGTACGGTTTATCAATTGTATCTGATGCTTTATCCAGTGCTAGGGTTATGCAACTGAGAATCTGCCTTCACTTTGTTGACACAAATTCTCCCCCTGAGAATCATCAAAATAACAGGCTATGGAAAGTGCAACCTGTCAACTGTACGTTGACGAACAGATGATTCCTTTTACTGGTCGGTGCTCTTTAAGTCAATACGTAAAAGGCAAATCGCGACCAGTACGATTAAAAAATTTTGTACTGGCTTCATCAAAAGGTGTGGTTCTCGATTTTGAGATATACCAAGGAAAACAAACTCCTCTTTTAAATGCGGAATATGGACTTGGATCTTCTGTAGTCTTGAGATTAACAACAGCCATTGCCAGAAGGATCATTTTTGCACTTTGACAGGTATTTTACTACACCTCGCTTAATAACTAAGCTTTGTGAACTAAAAATATATGGAACTGAAACCGTAATGAACAATCGAATCAAAGTTAACTTTGTGTCAGATAATCGTCTTCAAGAGAGGTCAAAGTGAACAATTTTGCTGCAAAGAAGAAAATATGGTGGCCGTTAAGTGGAGGAACTCAAAGTCTGTAGTTTTATTGTCGAATGCAGCTGTAGTATAGTAAAGTATAGTAAAAAGGTGGTGTAAAATGAAAAACAAATATGTAGAAATAACATGTCCTGATATTGTTAAATCTTACAATGAGAATATGGGAGGTATTGATATCGTAGATCAGCAACTCGAATATTACCGAAGCTGGATAAAATCCAGAAAATGGACCTTAAAAGTAATAATCCACTTTTTGGAACTTGCGGTTGTAAATTCTTGGATGCAATATAGAGCTAACTGTCAACTGAATAATATTCCAAAACGAAAGGTAAAGGATCTCTTATCCTTTCGAATTGAACTTGCAGAAACATTACTGGCAACCCCTACGAAATGACGTTTTACTAATGGACCACAGGAGTGATGACGTAGATTTGATTGACATCTGCCAGTGTCACTTTCCAAACAAACGTTGTTTAGTGTGGATAATTTGTATTTTTCGTTATTTTTTCATTTATTTTATAGAATCTTTCCGCTTTTTGCAATATTTAAGTATTCTAATAGTTACTACAACAATTTTACAAGGTTGTGTAAATAATAAAGCACATTGTTTTATGCTAATAGGAATAAAATGAAAGTATCAATAAAGTAAGGTTAAAATTTCTTTAATTAAACTTTTAAACCATTTTCATAGAAATAGAACTCTGAATTATGACGGTATTATCGTAAAAACACTATACTTACAAGAAAAAGCAGCAGAGGAAGCAAAATGTTAACTTTATAGGAATTAAAAAGTCTTGAGATTTGACATTTCAACGTTTGTTTGGAAAGAAATAATGACAATGTGACGTCACACTCCTGCGGTCCATAGTGATCAAGAAGAGGAAGAGAGAGAGCCTCCAACAAAAAAACCACAAAATTATAGGTCTTCAATGCCAGCTGAAGATAAATGGTTGGATAGCTTTGAGCATTTTCCAACTATAGATCAGCTAACTACAGCCAGATTTTGCCGCAGAAGCACTTGCAAAAGTAGAACGCGAAATTATTTTTTGTATTTTCATACACGGTAGATTTAATATTTTGTATTACCTAAAATAAAACCTATCATACACTACCTATCACACCTATCATAAGTTCTGAAGAAAAAATTATGTTCAGGTCTGAAAGAATTTAAAAAAATTTGATCTTGCTCTGCAAATCAGACCTCCACAGCTTCTATCACCCCTTTGTTGGAAGAAAATTTATGATCATTTGGACTTTATTTCAGTTGAGGAAAGACACCGTAGTCGAACTGAGCCAGATTTGTTAAATAACGGGGTTGTTCGAGTAACTCAAACCTTAAATCAGGAATTGTTTGCATGGCTACATGCGATTTGAATGCAGGGACATAGTCCTGCAAAACAAGATATTTTTGGACAACTTTTAGTGAGTAATTCAACGAAATTGCCGCCGCCTGAAAACAGGCATGGCCTGAAAGGGGAAGAATTCGATATTTATAACACGCCAGACAAAAAAATTTAATTACCATATTACAAACAAAGTATATACTCGTAAGTAGGTACAGTAGAACCTCCGTTCTCGGAAATACAGGGTGCATATAAATGTCAATTTCTTCTAAGTTCAAAGTAAAAACAATGAAGGTAATTAAGTAAAAAAATACACTTTTAATGGCATTTCGGTTAAAGAGGTTTTACTGTTTAGAACTATAAAGTTATCAATTTGTAATGTTACCTTGCAAGTTCTCTTTGTAAATCAGTCATAATCGTTGTACACTGTGAGTAGAATCTAGCCTGGGTATCTACAAACTCGTACAAATATCTTAAATGGGCTGCATGAGAACTACTCACTCCTTCTAAAAGAAGTTTGGTAATTTCGGCTTGTCTATCAAATTCTGATTGAGCAATTCTTAACTCTCTTTCGGCCTTAAAAAAATAAAAACTGAATACAAACGGCTTTCATTACATAAAAATCTAGATAAAAAAGTTGTTGTGCATTCTGGTATATGAGATAAGTGTGGTGTTTTAGATTTATATTTTTTAGAATACCTGTTCCAGCGCAACTTCAGGAGAAATTCCGTCCTTTTGCTGAGTGCATGAAAATATTTTTAATTTTAATTCATGTTCGAAAATTTCTATTTATTGAGTATGAGGTGCTACCTCCATATATCATTAATACAAACTGTGACGGCTCGTGGTAATTTAAAAAGGGGGTTGAGTTTACCGAAAGTACAAGCTGATTATAGCCTCAAATGTCAAACATGGGACCAAAAATTTCGGTTTAGCAGTGTTGGCATGTTTTTATAATGTATATGTTGTATGCTTCAAATATAAAGAGATAAAGGTTTAGAAAAGTACATTTTGATTATATTGTGTTATGAATTCTGCAATTTTTTATTTATATAAAACAAGAATGAGTAAATATTTGTTTCTTTGGAGATTAGTTGCAGTTAATTATTAGAAATTTTTTTTGGCAATTGCCCTTTGACAGAGTACGGGATAGATTTGGCAATCGTCAAATCAGCAGTTGTCATATTGCAACAGATGTTTGCAATTAATCTAGGAAGAGACAAATATTTACTCGTTATTGTTTCATAGAAATTAAAAATTGCAGAATTCATAAAATAATATAATCAAAATGTACTTTTTACAAGCTTTCTCTCTTTATGTTTCAAGCATACAACATAAGAATTATAAAAACATCCCAACACTGCCAAACCCAAATATTTTATTTCATGGTTGACATTTGCAGCTATATTTAGCTTGTACTTTCGGTAAACTCAACCAAAAAGGGTGTTCAATTAAGAATTGTGATTATGGAAACCGTGAATAAGCGTCACAGGCGAACAATTTTTGGGGACCTAGCCCTTTATTGTCTAAATTTGATATTATTTACTACTGTTTTATTGTCACATGCGATACATTAAATAAATGCGACTTAGAAACAAAATTTAAACTTTAAAAATAATATACAAATGTCTGGGTGTTTTTGTGTTTAATTTATTGTGAGTTTATTCATTTTAATACAAAAAATCATTCTTCAATTTTTGTCTTTTGCGAAATATTGATAACACGAGTGTTGCGTAACAACAATATTTAATATTTTTATTTAATTTTGTATCATATCATTATATCACACTGTATATTAGTTTAGATTTGTAAAATCCTTTTGTATCATCTAATAATCCGTACGGCGCCGATAGCTTGCATTCAAATAACTTTCTAGACATAAGCTTCAAAGTCGTCAAAGAATCATAACAATGAAAGGATTAGTAATTCCAAATTATCGGTTTGAGTCATTCGAAAATTCCCAACATTAAGGAAAATTGAAATATACTCTTCTCTGGTAGTTTTTACCAATGAAAGGAAAGTCGAAGGTATTTTAAATGTAAACATATCCTTTATAAACGTCGAGGGGGTCAGGGGAGAGATTTCTGAATGTTAAGAAACGATTACGAGCGTAGTGATTCAAGGGAGTGTGTGGAGATCAGTTCGAATCCAGCATTGGATGAGCGCTAGGCTCTTCTTTGCGCTAGCTGCACCTCAGAAGGTTTAACACAGTCGGTAGTTATCTAGTTTTTTTGCGCATATATTAAAATTAAATTTAATAAATCAGCTATCGTAAGCAAGTTATCGGCGTCCAAAATACGTTGTAATTATTTAAAAAGACTTGTTAAAACGTCCTTTTTGAAACTTTTATTTGTCCCAGTTTTCTGGGTGGTCCTTCAAAGAAGTATACAAAGTGAACCTATTTCCCTAAGGACAAAACTTGTTCCTCAAGGGAAAAAACCAGCGTCCTATGACTGGTGCCTGAAACAAAGGCATCAGCACAAGGTGTAAGGACAAACCATCGAGCAAAAAGATAAAAGAGGGAATCTAATCGTTATGAAAAGAGACCAAAAAAGTGGCCTCTGATGGCGGACATATCCGGAAATGCAAAGGCGCTAAATTTAAATTTTCAAACACTTGTTAACAATACCTGTAAAATATTTTTCAGACAAGAAAGTTTTAATTAAATATTAACGATAATAGTCTAAAAAGTGACATAATTGGTAAAAAAACTTCAATATAAATAAAATTTCATGTGACAGTTGGGACAAACAATAACATAACCAAACTAAATTTGACTTCTTAAACAAGGAAAGAGACTGTCTTTCCTTGTTTAAAGTGGCCTCTCAAGATAGCACTTCCTGTCTAACAATATTTTTGTCCCCACTACCTTTACATTCCCTCTTTTATCTTTTTGCTCGATGGGACAAACACACCTGCATCTTCGCTCAACGAGTAATCTATTCCGGTGCATTGTATTTCTCAGTAAATATTTAATCCTTTTCAATGTAGAAAAATAACGTTCACTTTCGACACTGGTCATTGGAATTAGACAGATTATATCAAATATATCTGTGTTGTTTAATGCCATACGAGGTTAATAAAAAAATTGTAACAAAATCTAAACATAAACTAAAATCTAACATTTAATCAAATAAACATACCGTTGGCTGTCCTAACATACTCCTTGCTTTTCTAACCCTGTTCTTACAAGCATCCAAGTCCAATCTATCAAGATAAACTATGTTAATAGAGAGAATTACAAACCAAATTTCTACTGTACCTTTTGACTTCAAGTAAATTCTTTTCTTTAATAATAGTTTTCATCTCTGTTTCTAAAAACTTCCTTAAAGGTTGGGTGAAACACATCCCAGCTGATCCAATAAAGTCTCTTTCGGTTTGGCCTAGCTTTTGTTCCCACTGGCCTAGAAAATACAAACAAAGATAGAAACAATACCAATAAAATAAAAAAACAATCTCCGTACATATTTAAAATGTTGTGTTTATGTGTAAATGAAAGGTCTTACAACATTACTGTTATACAAGTGTACAAACCGAAACATGTTCAAAAATATCTCAAACTGCGAAGGCCACTCAGGTAGCAATCAAGGAGAGAGGACTTCAGTTGAATGCGTTACTCTGCAAAGAGTTAACATCTATTTAAAAAGCATTGTACACGAAATCAGTGGTTTTGCGATATTGTCACATAAAATCTTCTAATAGTTGTTTATTTAGAATACATTTAATATTTTTTTAATAAACGTGAATATTACAAGTGACGTGAAAAATAGGACGAACATGTTTTAAAATTTACGAACAAGGAAGCAAAAGGAAATACACTACTTATTAAGTAACATAGGATAAAAGAACAATTAGCTGCTTTGACAGGTATGTTCAGTGTATGTTAAAAATATTTAGCAAAGAAATAATTATATCTATAATTTTATGTCTGTTTTGTAAACAAGTATTCTGAATATTTTCGGCTATAGTCGTCTCGTATTTCGAGAGAGAGAGAGAGAGAGAGAGAGAGATGAGAGAGAGAGAGAGAGAGAGAGAGAGTATAAAAACAAGCAATAAAAATTATAATAAAAGTACTCTACCAAGAGTAATTAACTGCAAAATTATCAATGAATGAGATATATAATAATACAAAGTTTTAATATTCTCATCGATATTTACATTCAGATGTGCCTGATATTATGTTTGAAAATATGGGCAGTCACCTAGTTGAAATTTGCATTGAACTGTTGATCAGTCCACACGGACCAGGAGCCAATCAAAATATCGGATATCGCTATTATCACAAATCATAATGCGTTATCTTTTGTAACAATATTTGCCTGAGTGACCGAAACCATCAAATAGTTATCAGGAAAAGTCACGTTTCGGCCATCCTGATTTTTGCACTTGGGTAGGTGGGTGAATTACAAATAAAGAAGTACTGAAGAGGGTTAAAAATAAAAATAGCCATTATGATTGCCAACCTCCGTAGGAAGACGGCACTTTAACCCTTTAGATCACGCTTTTTTTTATTGCAATAAAAAATATTTTGTTAATAATTCCTACCCAATTATGGTATTCTTAACGTCTTTTGGTAAGAATATTACCATTTTTTTAATTAAAATAAGGCCCGTTTTTGATGTCGTCAATTGACGACATTGTGACTAACTGGTTACAAACTAATGAGTATGACATATAATTTTACAGCTATACGTTAGGATAAAAATACATTTATTGATTAAAAAAAATGATTTAATGATTATAATATATTAAACAAAATTTCGGTTTATGAAATTGTAAAAAATAATTTTTATTTTTTGTCAAACATAGATGTACTTTACATTTTTGACAAAGAAAACGGGAACTGCCTTTACATTCTGCATGCAATGGAAAATGAGCTATCCTGTCAAACTTTACATCATCAATAGGCCGGTTTTCCTAATTCTTTTTATTGTTCAATGGTTCTGATTTAGTTCCATTTGACGGGCACTCTATTTTTCTAGCTCCTATGCGACATGAAATTAAAGCTTCTGCAATATAGGCCCAAAAATGAACTAAATCTAGTTACTTTAGATGGCCGGAAAGAGGCCTAAATCTCTTTATTTGACTTATTTTTAGATTTAATAATAACCGTGAAAATGTTTATTACTCAAGTCGTTGAGTCACGATGTCGTCAAATGACGACATATAATTTCAAAAAAATAATTTGACATTATGGAAATTTTGAAGTGTACTTAATATTAAATTTTATTATTTGCACCTAGAAGCTTCCAATATCTGAAAAGAACAGATTTATCTCAGTTTTAGAAGGGTAAAAAAATATAATAATTTAAGTAGCATCGATAGCTTTCATAAACCATTGTGAATGTAAACAGAGAAACTGCTTTAGTTCAACTGAAATGTAACAGATTGTATTACGGGTCGTAAATCTAATTAATATTGGATGTTGTGAGATACAGTGACTCACCAGAGGGACCGCAGACGTTCGGATACAATTAGCGTCTCTTAGCAAAGACAATGACGTCGACTTCGCTAAGTATCAAGACAATTACTCTACACACACACACTACACTAGGTACCTGACTGTACCATGCCAATGATCATAGTTGTCGAGGCATTAACCCAATAAAAAATAAAAAAAAAATTCACTGTTGCTATACCATAACATCCTATAATATTTACTTAAACAAAGTTAAAATTCTTGTGTCGTCAATTGACGACACTGTGACTGAAAGAGCTAAGAAGAAGAAGGTGGATATATTTTATTTTTAAACCGGCGAGAGCCGATTTTGCTTAACAAGAATATTTTTAGTATAACCATAACTACTACAGCGTTCAGTTAAATTCAAATAGTGAACTGCAAGTGAGTTTGGTTGTGAATTAGTCAGTGTTCTTTCTAAACTTCTTCTCCCATTTTACGAAGATACTTTTAAAATTTGGTGTCCGTGATGTGATAGTAATTCTGCAGCTGAAGAGTAAGTGGCACCCTCTAATCAATTGGAAGATTTACAAAGTTGTGTAGTAAAACGTAAGTGACATTTTCAATACCTGAGATAGAGGAGAAAAGATTGTGGCAAATTCAGACAAATAGAACAACCCTTTATTGAACATACAACCAGAACAATATACAAAATGTATGCGGCTAATAGGTTTCCAACTATTGAAAGCTTTTGAAGTGAATTGGTTCAAAAGGAGGTTCGAAAGGACGTTCGAATGACATTCGCTGACATTTTCTCATGTTCAGCAACAACACTGATTAATTCTTAAAGCCATTAATTTTAAGTACAAAACTATAGAAAAGTGCCAAACACTAATGGAAATTACAAGAATAATTTCAATAAGAAACAATTCTATCAGAAAGATAACTGAATATCAAAAAATGAAAAAAATATTGTTTATTTAGATGAGACCTGGTATGATACTCATGACACTATGAAAAAAAAGTTGGACGAATAATAACAAAAAGTGTTTTGAGTACCGATGCAGTTTAAAAAATGGATGGACCGACGATGTAATAATATATCTGTAAAAAAAATTAAAGACTAAAAATTAAAAATCTAGATTATAATGAGGATATGAAAAGTTCAATTTGTTAATCATTGTTTGAAAAATCTCTTCTTTTAAAATTACCAAACCATAGCGTAATTATCATGGACAATGCATCATAACGTTCAAGATTATTGAGAAAAATTCCAAATATTACTTGGAACAAAATGCAAATTCAGGAATTTTTATTTGAGAAAGATACATCCCACCAAGAAGATACAAGAGACATCATATAGTAAAAAGCAATTGTTGGAAGTAGCTCGTAGTACTAAACTACTCTAAAGTTAATTAGAAGAGAAGTCACAAAGATCACAGCAACAATTAACTAAAAATTTAGAAGATACTAGTGATAATAGTGTAAACTATAAAAAATAAAGTAAACTTAATTTGAATTAGGTGTTAGTTGAAACCTTTATTTTTATTGTAATTATAGATATTGCCATGTTGCTTGTATATCTTTGAAAATAGGGTACAAACACATTTCTTGATAGAACAAAATAGTACAAAGTATTTGATTTAAAATAGTGAAAGTAGAGGTTAGGTTATTATAAAATACCTGCTAGGTACATGAAAAAAGATATTTGTAAAAGTTTTAGACCTCTTACCCATTTTAAAATTATTGAGATACTAGTCTTCTGTAACACAGTCAAACCAAAGTTGTTGTATTTGATTTTTAAAAAGAGATATCCATTTTTTTTTATTACAATTACAAAAAAGTTATGAGGAATAAAATAGAAAGTTTTAATACTTATGAGCAGTTGTGTTAATAAAATGTAAATATTTGATCATACTGTTAAATTATATGTGATAATTACTTTTATTAACAATTTTTTATATAGGTATTATTATTTTACAATAAGTTCTGTTCAGTTGAGTTGATTAGTATTATGACTACCTAGATATATCACAGATATTTTTTATTTAAACTTTATCAAAAATGTAAAATAAAATATTTACTGATACCCATATAATTTGAGGGCATGTGACAGTCCCATTTACACTTAAAATCAAATGTTTGCAAAGAAAACCTTTTATTTATTTAAAATTAGATATCTACGCTACTGTTCAGTAAAATAGAACAGTGCTCACTATAACATTATTGCCAATTTGCTAGTGCCTAACTCGCTCTTGCTTCCGTAAATTTTCCAACAAAATGATTTGCCTACTATACCAACAAAATATACCAAGATTTATTGTTGTACAACATATCAAGAAATTTAATCAAACAATCATCTTACGGAACAACAGGTTCCTAGTGTTAAAAAGTTTCAACAGAAATTTGCAGAATTGAACTATAAAGGTAACAGAGAAAGTATGAGCAAAGAATATAGACGCTTATAGAAGGATCTTTCACTGTTATTTTTGAAAGTTGGCAAAAGATGATCGCACGTTATGAAAAAGAATGAGAGGGTGGATCGAGATTTTAGTACCAGTAGGAAGCGGTCATGTCGGCGCTATTATTGCTTTTAAAATATGAAAGAGTGGGGCAACAAATGCAACAGATATTTTTATGTAGATGCCGCGTGGCCGTAGAATAGGATTAAATTTTTGCGTTTTATAACATTTTTTAAAGAAAATAATATTTTAACTTTTAATAAATGAATCCTATTAGAAAAAATATTATGATTCAAATTTTTAATTTAAATATGTACAAATCTACAAATAATATACTTAAAACTCTCTTCTTATTAACTATAAATAAAATTAATTCAATCAATAAAGTCATCAATCACCGGAATTAAATATTTCCAAATTTTCTAAATTTAATAATTTCTTCTTCTTTGTTTTTAATATAAAATAACATAAAATGTAAAACACAACACTGTTTTTCTGCAGAATAATGGAAAATTGTCTAAAAAGTGGAAAATTAAATTTTTGGTTGAAAAATTTTGAAATTTTTAAAAAATATTTCGTTAATTTTTGGGCAGAAAAACAGTATAATAAAAATTTATGTGGCGGTTTTTCGTTGTGTTGGAACAAACCTATTTTTAATTCAAAGTTATAAACTGTAAAAAATAAATGCTTTGAATATTGTAAATATCATACCTTTTTAAATTTCAAAATTAAAAATTTAACAATTTAATGTATTAAAAATAAAGATTTTATTGTGCAAAAAACAAAAAAAGCATGGGAATTTTTTTAATCGTAGATGCAAAATTAAATAAATAGCTCCGTTCGTACTCCTTTCCCACTTTCCCCTAACTACATCTTTTATGATAGTTTTAAGCCGACTGACTGCCAGATGTGTTTTAAAGTATAAACCGTAACCAAATCGCCCATTTGAACTGTTCTTCTATAAGCGTCTATATTCTTTGGTATAAGACAAGAATTTCAGCAGCTTGGGTTTCAGTGCAGAAAAACATCAAATAATTTAAGAAACATGCCATTAGACATTTAAGACTACAGTATGTCAAGAACATTAAAAAAGCTTCATTCAATTCATAATAAAAATGTAAAAGCGTTATAGAACTGTTATCAATTTTACTGTGAAACAGGTAACAAATAAAAAGCCAAAAAACCTGTGAAACCTGATTGATCTGGCAACGTTGCATAACTGAAATTTTCCATCTGTTTGACATTGGCGATTTCAGATATTTCTGTTGATCTGTAATTTATTCATGAAATCCTCTTGAAAAGAATTTTAGAGATCATGTTGAATTTTGATGGTCATATATATTCCAATTTTTTCTACATATCCAATTGTTCAATAAAAAGAAGAATTTTTGAAGGCTATAAGTAATTCAGTATTGGTAGGGTAAATTGTTCTTCGGTCTCTTTCTGTTTAATCATTTTTCTCTTGAACTGTTTGTGCAATATCATCTGACACAGCTGTTGTACAAATTGTAATATAGTTATCGATAAAAATAGCCTCATCTACTTTAATAGTAGATAAAGTAGATAGTAGCCTTTAAATACAGCATGTAGTCAGCTAGAATTTGTTATAAATTTTGTATGTATGGTAATTAATCACAAAAACTAACAAAATTGAGCAATCAACAGAGATTGATTCAAAATTAAATTTCAACTAAAGCTGACTTGGTAAAGAATTAAATAAATTCTAAATCTCAATAGTCACTCAATATTTTGTTAACATCATGGTACAAATATAATACTCCATAAATACTTCATTTATGGAGTTTTGCACAAAATGTTTTGATCTGTTATCACTTATCAATTGAACTTTGATGGTACACAAGGCAAATATCGAACACAGTAGGTAATCAAATCTTGCCCAAGTACTTTCGATCACAAGATCATCCTCAGGGGCATTTCGTCAGTTGTGGCCTATCCAGCAGTAATAGAATGTTATAAATGTAAATTGGGACATAACAAATACACTAATCAAAGACAAACAAACACTTTAAAATTTAAGAAATGGAGAAGCTACATTTTATATAGAAGCCGGAGACAGATTCTGTCTCCGGCTTCTATATATGCGAATTCCATATGCCTTTGTATATATCTTTTCGAGCAAAAAAGTTAAAATAATACAATCAACACCAATTTTTTTCATTTTATTAGGCTGTGTTATAATTATGGCTCATGTGACCCATATCATAATTTCTTTGATGGAGTACAATTAATTATCATAGATATTCCTATATATCTGATTTAGAATAGAGACACCATCTATGTTATCTGAAGTGATCTGTTTGGTGAGGTTGACATATTTTAACTGAATCATTGTTTGAAACATACAACAAAAAAATTCATACTCTCAGTATTAATGGCTCAAATAAATTTACTGTTGCAGACTCCTTAAACAACTACTTATAACATTTCAAAAATAAACTTTTGTTTTAATTGATGCAGTTTTATTTTGTTAGTAAACTGTGTGTGAATATTTTTTGTTTAAGTTGTGGTTATGAGCATGTGTGCGCAGGATTGTATAGTAATTTCTAGCCACTACCAGTTGGTAAAAATTTAATCAAAATAGCAAAAAATAATTAATAAATTTACTACAATTGTGACTGGGTTGAGTGAACCAAATATGTTAAAGTTTGTGCTAGACTTGTACTTATTTATTTATTTAAAATGAAAGAAATTAATCAAGATAATGAAAGTAGTGTTTACAAACATAATAAATATTATCTTGGTTGTGTTTGTATATTTATAACATTAAATTCTGTTGCATTAATGTGAAAAATAATTTAAAAACAAAATTAATCTCCTGCTAATAAACTTGGTGGGACTAATTCAAATGCAAAAATTTATCTGTTGTAGACCAAAATCTAACAACACTGTATTATAAGGTAACCATATTATTTATAAGTTTTTCAAATTTTTCAGAACATTTTTTTAACTGGTAGGAGAATAACAATAATAAAATGTTGGTACTGTAATGATAAAATAAATATTCAACTGAAACAAAATACATTTAGACTGAGGTATTTGTATGCCAATCTAGCATTAGATTTGAATTACAAAATAAGCAATTTACAATGATGAATAGAGGGAAATGTAGATACTGACCTACTTTGATTAAGGAACTCCCATAGGCTGTACCAGGCCCCAAAGCATTACCTGCCTCTACCATATCCACTCCTAAATATTCCAAGTTGCTTAATCGTGAAGGTCGTTGCTTTTCGATTTTCTCATAGATGTAATCTTCAACTCTATTTCCAGGATTTGGGATCAAAACAGCTTCAGTATTTTTTACAAGTTTTTCGGTAAAGTTCTTTGTACCCTCTGCTCTGTTCCAAAGATTTTCGAAATGGGCATCCAATTCTGTTTTTTCAGATGTGCCTAACTTTTCCTCGGTCATCTAAAAGATTTTTGTAAAAAAAACTGTTAACCACTAAAGGGTAAAAACGTACCTGTATTGCTCTGCTTAAAGCAGCTCCAGCATCTTTTACAATTTTTTTAACGTTAAAGTCCATGTTGCGCTTTTTATCTTACGATATTAAACAAAGTACTTCCTTGTTTCTTATCGTCTGTATTTTATCGATCTATTGAAAACATACAAACGGAAAACACTGATATGCAAAACAAATTTCTTACTATATACACTAGAATTTGACACATACGTCAAAGTCAAAATTCCAGTAGTTCCAGCGTTCCGTCTCGGAATTGTCTTGGTGGAGTAATGTATTCAGACATCTTATTTGAAATTTTAAATGACAACTAAGCATAAAAACTTTTGGTAAGTACTGAGGAGTTGATCGAGTAGCTCAGTATTTGTTTGTTGCTGTTCATATTGGTCGCAAACCCGAATCAGGAGGATACGGTATCCCGTAAAAAAATTGGGATACCAAATCCAAAGTCAGAGAAAACGGAACTTTTGACGACACTCAAATGCGCTCAACGCAACCACATAAGGATAACAATTTATGAAAATACGACTGAAACGCTCGTGAATTTACTAAAAAGTTCGGGAAAAATAATTGATTAACTGACCCAATATTAAGCACACATTACTTCTCTATAGAAAGAATGCAAGTGTAGAATGCAAGTGTAGAAAAAGAATTATAATTTTACAAAAAGCTTATAATCTTTAAACCTTCAACTATAAATAAGTATATTTTGACGAGGATAAATGGTTTATGTCTAGCTAAAAACGGGAAACAAATATTTCGAATATACATTTCGAGCAATCTATCTATACGGTTGCAGCGATACAGGTGCACGCGGCGTTTAAAAATCTTTGTTTAAATTTAAAACTATGTTTTTAACAAGATATAATCTTTATCCTAGTTAAAATATTTTTACTTCTACATGAAGGTTTAGGTACAGATTATAAATTATTTTGTAGAATTGTAATTTATTTAGTAGTTTTTAAAAAAATCCAAAAATCACTAATTAAGGCATTTTTTTCAACAACCAATAACAAATAACTTAGTTCTATATAAGTCTAGCATCGTTGTTAAATTGCATTTTTAAAATAAAATCAAAATATAAATTCAAATTTTATATTGAAGACACCTTCTTATCACAGAATAAGTGTCGATAACCTACAAACGCTAAATTTTTTGGTGTTTTATTATATGAGAGCATGCAGCATAGACGTATATAACATGTTAATATATAACGTCGTCTATGGCATGCGTCGCCCGTCTATCGCATGCGTCGCACGTCTATGGCATGATGTCGCTGCTAGTCATGGAAAATACAGTTACTTTGTAGTGTAATAGCTCAGGTAATAGGTTCCATCGTTCCGGTGACAGACAGGTAATAGGTTCCGGTAACCTATTACTTTTGTCGCCGATTACCCAAGCCGCAATCAGCTCCATTTCGCTTGGCTTGCTGTAGTTTCTTGTAGTAATCATAATATCTTTTTCAATAAACGAATATTTTTTAGTATTTATAGTTTATTTTTGTTTCAACCATGAGTGATAAACATTCTTCATACGTTTGATGGTTGTTAAAAATAAATATTAAACATATACAGCTGACAGAGGCTTAAAAATAGATGATTCAACTACTATACTATACATAAATTATAATTGAAATATTAGATATATACATAACTTATGTAATATAAGGCGAGAGGAAAAATATTAGTGTATAATATTATTCTATTAAATAACTCGAGAATTTAGTTTTGCATTAACTACAAATAACTACATTATAATAAGGGCAAGCAAATTCTAATAACATACTATAATAACAATAAACATAGTCTCTGTCTTAATAATCGTACGTGCTTACGGTGGTATTCCCAGCTATTAAGTGGCAAAACATACAGCTCATCATAAATTCGGTGACAATGACCATCCTATTCTGTTACTGATTGAGCGAACGATTCCCATCGTTTCATATTGTCACAGTCACATTAACATCTCTTCAATCCTGACCCCCAGGGGGAGTGTAGTGGTCGACGTGATGTCGTGTATTGTCCGTCTCCAGAGATCTCTGTCTCTGGTCATTTCTTTTAATTCATGCATAGGTCTTTGGCATATTCCTGTAATTTGATCTATCCATCTTGTTGGGGATCTTCCTCGTGATCTTCGGCCTTCTACCTTTCCTTGTATTATGAGTCTTTCCGTGTTTTCTGTGTTTGCTCTCATAACATGCCCAAAATATTTTAATTGTTGGAGATGGACTTTACTAGAGAGTCGTTGGCTAACTTTTAGCTCTCTTAAAATTGAATTATTTGTTCTGCGGTCGGTCCAAGGAATTCGTAACATTCGTCTCCAACAGAACATTTCAGTGGCGTCTATCTTTCTTCTCTCCGATTGTCTCAGAGTCCAAGATTCACATCCGTAGGTCAGTATTGGGAATATTAAGCAGTTGATCAACCTCATCTTTATAGCTCTTGAAATTTGACAGTCCTTCCATATTTTGGTCATTTTTGCTTGTGGCAACTTTTGCTAGATCAGATCTACGTTTAATCTCTTCTTGTAATGACCCTGTGTTTGTGATTAATGATCCCAGATATAAGTATGAGCTCACAACCTCGAACCGGTCAATTGTGGTTATGTGTGGATGATTGTTGTGTAGTCTATCCACTATCATGATCTTTGTCTTTGATATGTTTAATTGCAGACCAAATATTTGACTTTCGTTTTCGATCAGTCGTATAAGTTCTATCAGCTCTGCTTGACTATTTGCAAGAAGGGCTGTGTCATCTGCGAAACGTAGGTTGTTTAGTTTATGACCATTTATTGAGATCCCCTTTTCCCATCCTTCAAGTGCTCTTCGCATGATATACTCCCCATATATGTTGAATAATTGTGGAGATAGTATACATCCTTGTCTGACACCCAGTTCTGGATGAAATTCGTTCGAAAGTGTGTCAAGTACTTTAACTGATCCAGTAGTGTGTTCATATAGTTCGGTTATAAGCGTAATTAGATGTTGTGGTACGCCTACTTCTTTAGTATTCGCCATAAGTGTCTCCACTTGACCCTGTCGAACGCTTTACGGTAATCTATAAAACAGATGTATAGTGGGATGTTGAATTCCCTAGATTTCTCGATTATCTGTCTTATATTCAGCAGGTGTTCTCGAGTACCTCTACCTTTGGTAAATCCAGTTTGCTCTTGTGGAATTTCTCTTTGAAGGAATGTTTTCAGTCTCTCATTGATTATATGTAGCATTATCTTGCTGGCATGGGATATAAGAGAGATAGTTCTATAATTGTCGCATTTATGGAAGCTGCCTTTTTTTATGTATGGTCGTTATTGTAGATTTTGTCCAGTCTTCAGGCCATTGTTTGGAATGCCATATTTGGTTACAGAGTAGATGAAGTAACTTTACGCCGGTTTCTTCTGTGGCTTTAAGCATTTCTGCTGTTATTATATCTGGACCTGGTGCTTTGTTATATTTGAGCTTGTTGACAGCTCATTAACATATCGACATTAACATATCGAATGCCGATTCGAATACCATTGCGTTTTAGGTTATAGTTACAGTGACAAAAGTAATAGGCAGTTTGCTGTAACCTATTATTGAGAAAACGAATACTTATTGGTAATAGGGTTATTTATCCGAATATGTTATATAACGCCCATCTTTAGTCGCTGCTATCATATGCACTCGATGCAGCTGACGTATGCGATTCCTTGAATTGGGCGCATAAGGCAGACCGCTTGTTTTAAGTTTCCATTTGAAGAGTGTATAGAGCGTCGCTTGCGTCAAACGCATAAGAAAGACTGCATCTTAAGTGTGTTTGCAACACGAATTTGTTTCTTCATCTGGGAGTTTTATAACATCTGTTTTTTGAATAGTGTGTCTATCAACCTTTTGGATATTGATATGATTAACTAGTTATCCGAGATAGGATTTTACTCATTTTATTGCATTTTAAACACCGTAGTCTATATTATTTTAACTTTGTGTACTACATATACCGATTTAAGCTTAGATTTTTCATGTTTTTAAGTTATTTTGCCTTAGCTACATATTCTTTTCAACCAGCTTATGTATAATTTAACATCTTGAAAATGTGATTTCACATTTTCAATGTATAATTACACATCTTGAAAATACATTTTATGGTTGTCTATTAAAAGGAGATAATAATCTAACAACTCAATTATACGGCGTCTGTTTTTACTATCACGGCTATTTGCCTACAAGATCAAGGCCAAGTAAAGGTCGATTCAGACACATCAGTCACGTCTCGTCACAGTCCTGGCACCGAACCCAACAATCCGTCATAGAAAATATTCTTTAATAGAAATATGGCGCCGACATTCACCAGTTGACGAACAATTTGCCAGCTGTCAGATAGTTGATAGTTCTGTGACCAAACAGGACCGGTTCAGGCACCGAGACTGTGGTGTCTGGATCGACCTTAAGTTATCCGTCAGTTTGAAAAACATAACCGCTAAACAACCAACGTTTAATTGTGATCATAGAGATACAATACAAATGCGCTGCAATACACGCCCGTTTCCCCATTGCTACTGAGAAAACTGACTGTGAAGGTCACGTAGGTAATAAACTCCGCCTATTAGAAAGAGATGCAGGGACTGCTTTACGTCAGTTTTCTCTGTCGCTCCGTTTATTTGTGTTATATGTATGTCTGTGATTATAATAACAGCAGACATTTTTAAAATAATCTTTTGTTGAGAACAATTTCTGGAGTGGAAATCCCAACAAGTATAAAATATAATTTTCTTTACAATAAATTGTGGCTTAATCTCATATAAACATAATATTTACTCTAGAAATGAGGCACAGCAATATCAGTTTTCGAGATTATTCTCTCAATAGTGGTGTCGTTCTATTAGAGCGTCGAATATGATAATTTCTTTTAACAGGTTGAAATAAAACTATATTCCTAAGGTATTCGGTAAATATATTAAATAAATATTTCATAATATAAAAATAACAAATGGAAAATGTACCAATTTGGTATCGCCATACTGATTTTGTGTCATTATCCTTAAAAAGAAGTTTTATACTTCTTCATTTCTACCATAATAAGATGTATATTTACAAGTTGTGACCTTATTTGTGGTGTTAATAATTTATGAAATCTGTGATAATATTGCACTAATTGTGTAAGAGCTAACTGAAGTAAACTAGAGCCAGTGACGAGATTCGGAAATGATAATAAAACTTCTCTGTTAAGATCTTCCAGCGATCTTTTCCAATTACTAGTAAAATTGGTCACAATATCAACTGATTTTGGTTCTAATGCTTTCAGTTCTTTAATTTTTGAAGTCTCAAAATAATGTTCACATTCTTTTACATACTGGATCATTTCACCAAAATGTGGAAATAGGATCTGTTCTGCATATTCTCCACTTCGTGCAGATAATCTTGATTTAAATACTTCCGCTTCCTTTGAATTATCTCGAGTCCTTTCCATGATTATACTGAGAATCATATCGTAATTGTTTATTAAAAATATCAATTGGTCTTTACGTTCTGTGAAAACTCCAGCCATTCTTAAAATAAACATTTCTACTTCCTCTTGAAGTTCTGCTAGCAGCTTACTAACCAGCTCGTTGGGAAAGTTTTCACTTATACTAACCAAAGCTGCACTGAACTCGGCATACCTTCTTGCAATCTAAAAACAAAATTAGATAATTAATTACAAGTGCTTAAATGTAAAACTAATACAATGTTACAAGAAAACATTTATTATGTTTACCATCTAACTTCTCGACATACGTTAATATATATCATATTATAAAGGGTAACCTAACAATATTAGCCACTGGTTATATCATGGGAACTAAAACAAATAGTGTCGGGAACAAATATTTCGAGCATACGCCATCCAAAATAAATTTATAAAAATTATTTGTAAGTGATAAATATGTCTTTGGGAGCGCAGTGTACATGACAAACAAGTTAAATGAATTTTTTGATGAATATACCAATATTTGCTAAAAACTATATTTGCTATAAAACAACAACCCTACTTTGAGGTAAAGCCTGCTAAACCTTACTTCTTGGCTATGTTAAAGATACATGTCTGTTTATTTTAGATCACTACTCAAATACATATATTTCTATCTTTTAGTGTTAGAAATGTAATCAAATGCAATACTTTTAATGTTAGAAATTTCAAGTAAGCATACCATGAAAATAATAACAGATCATAACATGTCACTATCTATTTATTTGATGAGGCCCATTTTTAGGATGAAAATAGGACGGAAATATCAGGTTGTACAGTTTTCCGAATAATTCAAGGTAACAAAGAACCGATTCACAAAGGATGTACAAAAATTGTAATGGGCATAATTACACAAAATAAAATCTGAAAAATTCTTAATATTTTATTTTGAGAACGAATTAATTTTGATTTTTTTTAAATTACCTTAAATAAGAAGTAAAAAATTACTATTTGACAATAAAACTAACTGATATTTACTTATTTATATTTTATTATAATTTAATATTTCGTTTCAATTTGACAGGTCTGTCAGAACGCCAGAAGTAAACAACATATACTTTGTTAATACGTCAGCAGGTGGCGTTAGGAACAAAAATATTAATTTATTGAATTATTTGAATATAATATAATTTTTTAAGATATATATAATAGGAAATTGAGCAGTGTATTTTGAAGGATAAATAGGTACTTATTATTTACATACTGTCACTGGCACTGCAAATCTTAAAATTTGTCAGATAACTTATTCTGTTCAACCTCAAAAATGGCTCCACATGCTAGCAAAGAACTAAAAGCAAGAATTGTAACGAAATTAGAAGATGGTTGGTCACTATCTGCCGTAACGAACCATTTTAACGTAAGCAGAACAACAGTTTTTAATATTAATAAAAGATGGAGAGAACAGGAAGCTCTCGAAAGAAAGTAAGGTTCTGGAAGACCAAAAATATCTACCGCTGATAAAAATCGTACGCTTTAGAGAGATTAGAAGATAATCCTTTTGAAGATGCGAAAACTGCAAGAATTATGTCGCAGTTTCCGGGAAGAAAGACAACAACTTGGTGCAGAATTAAATCATCGCGTCTTGGTACCGAACTGCAGCAAAAAAGCTCTTACACCACAACAGAAGCAATGAAGCAATCAAGACTTATATTTGCTTTAAACCATCAGCTACAAAATCAAGATTTTTGGGACAGGGTTATATTTACAGATAAGAAATTTTTCAATCTTCGAAAATGGGCAAAATTTGGGTATATAGACCAGATAATAATAGATGTAATCCTCTACATATTGATAGATATCGAGCAGTTGCTGATTTTAGCGCCAATGTATGGGGATGGATTTCATCTACAGCAATGGTATGGCGTATGGCAGGTTTGTTAGGCAGACTTTTCTGAATATTCTATAAAACATCATGTTTCCCCGTGTAGAACAGTTGTATCCAGAAAATAATTGTATCCTCCAACAAGATAATTGTCCTGTTCACACTGCAAATATAATAAACCGATGGCTCCAGAATAACATCGAAACCTTACCATGGCTCAGCAACAGTCCAGATTTAAACCGAATCGAGAATGTGTGGGGGGTTATTATAAAGCGGTTGTAACAGCGTAATTTTATACCTCAAAATGCTAAAGAGCTGTGGTACAGTATACAACAGGTTTGGGAAGAGCTCTCTGAAGAAGACAATTTCATAGTTCCTTTCACGCAGATAAACCGAAGACTACAAGCTGTTATCAATACTGATGGAGATATCACAAAATAATAAGTTATTTTTACATACCTAAATTTAATATAGTTTTGGACTTCCAGACCCTCGCTTTCTTTCGAGAGTTGCTTGTTCCCTCTATTTCTTATTAATAGAAAAACTGTGGTTCTGCTAATGTTAAAATGGTCGGTTAAATGATTATGCCCGGTTATCTTTTAATTTGGTTACAATTCTTGCTTTAATATATTGTTAAGTCGTTTGTGTTATTCCTTAATAATAATAAAAAATAATAACAAAAACCCTATTTTATGTAAAAACTATCATTTATAAAATGCAGGAATTCAAAATAATATCAAAATTTAGACCTTGATAATTATTACAATTTATGAATTAACATATGAAAGGTCCACGGGAAAAACGGCATTAGTCCATTTTTTCAACAAACTAAGATCTCCATTGATTTTTGTGGTACTGTTAGGTGACTCTGAGGTAGTTAGACCGTTAAGCTGTAAAAACAGCGTAAATCCTAAATGGCATGAGTCCGTGCTTGTGTATGGAAAAATGGCATCAGTCCCTGTTATCAGTTGGTGTCGGCAAGTCAGTTGTTGCATCAACCGTTAGTTTACTATTTATAACCACGTGCATCTGTTGTATTTTAATACGTTGTGCATATTTTTGTAGTGTAAAAGTTTTTATAAAAATATAAGAATTATCATAGATAGTGACTATTCAGTGTCCAGTGAAAGTGAGATTGGTCTATCAAGCAGGGAAACTGTGGTTCCTGAACCTGAACGCTATAGAATCGTTCGTGAATTTAATGAATTAGGTAACACTGATGCACAAAACTCTTACCTTAGATGTCTAATCAGTGTTCTTCCTGTTATATGCAGGCGACCTAGAATTTTCCCTTTTAATGGGAAAGCACCTATCGATATGCGAGGAAAACATAATTCGAGACCTCACAAACTTTCTGAAGTCACAAATCAAAGATGGAGTTCATTAAAAGTTAATGACGCAAATCATACCTTAGCAGACTCGGATAAAATTTACTTGCCTGAAAACATAGTGAAATTACACAAAATTTATTCCGAAACAGACGTTGATAATAAAATTTCGTATGAATCCTTCCGTGAAATTTTTGAGTCAAATTTTAATATATCGTTCGGATATCCACGAAAAGATACTTGCAGCACGTGTGACTCCTTAAAAGCCTATGTATCATCGATAACTACATTAATTCTTCTTGGGACCTTGAAACTAGGAAAACAGCAAGTACTGATGTAGAAAAAAACACACGTGAAAGGGATCTACATCTAAAAAAAGTGAGCGATTTTACAGTCTAAAAAGAATTTACCGCAAACGTGCTTTAAAGTCGTCGACTAAAGAAGCTACAACCATGGATTATCAAAAAAACTTACCATGTCCAAATATTACAACCAACGATGTATACTATAAACGTCAACTAAACTTCATCAGTTTCAACATTCATATCCTGTCGAACTCAAAATCTGTATTTTATTCCTACGATGAATCTATTGCTAAGAAAGGAGACGATGTTTGTTAGACGCTGAACCACTTATTTTTATAATATTCTGCTCATGGAGGTAAAAGAACTAGCCATTTTTTGTTATTACTGCGTAGGACAAAATAAACATTTTACTGTCATTCGATTCTTGGGTTACTTGGTTACAAGAAAAAATCGTTTTGATATTGTGAAAGTAATATTCCCTATTAGAGGGCATTCATATCTTGAATGCGATCGAAACATGAGCCTTGTCAACCAGAAATCATACACTGAGGTACCAGAGGACTGGAGAGACGAATTGCGAAATTGCCGTTTGAAAACTACACCATTTGAAGTGATTGATTGCAATAAAAATTTTGATTTTCAAAATCATCAAAAGCATCAGAATGCTTAATTTTTGTAGCAAGCATAATCGGTTAATTTTCCATAAATCTACGTATATGGGTTTATACAGAGTGGTCCAAAAGTCTGGAAACGGCCAATTATCTCGTAAATTGCCGGTTATAATTGTACAAAATTTGATGTACCCCTATTTTGGGATATGGAGATTCCATATTTGATATTTGCAATGTTGCCAGATTTTCCGTTTCTCTTATATTATTAGTAACTTTGGTTTTTTAAATGCATCACCCTGTATATTCAGTCATTATTGGAATCTCCTAGTCAATACGAGTTCAACCATATGTAACACTTATGATTTTATGTAGTCTGAAAGGTCTTAAATACATAAAACACAAGTCTGGCAACGCCTAATTGTTTCAATAAATTTTTTAATACTAATTATTTTCAACTACATTAAAACTTAACAATTGATAGATTAGAACATTTTTTAATAATAGTTACGTTATTAAGTGTTCAAAATGTGCTCAATTTATGAGTTGACAGTACCCTAATCGATGGTAGAATGCGTCTATCACATTTCTCTATGATGGTCTGGAAACAATTCGAGATTCATCGATAATTCGTTGCCTTAGCTCTGCAAGACTTGCTGGTTACGTTTTGTATACTGAATTTTTCAAGTATCCTAATAAAAATAATCTTTATGATTGAAATCGGGTGAACGTGAAGGATACCTTGTCTACCATTCAATTTTACCTTGTCTACCAATTTATCGCCCGGGAAATATCTCATCTAAATAACGCCGAACATTTACACAAACTATCTGACGTTAAATTTTTTTCGATAAAAAATGTCCCAATTGACTGAGTACCTACTATACCTGACGATACATTTAATTTTTGTGGTCTTTGAGTATGGTTTTCACGCATTCAGTGTGAATTTGCGTCACTCCAGTACCTTAAATTGTGTCGATTTACACTTCCACACAGTGTAAAGATTGCTTCATCGGAAAATTTTAATAATTTTAAATTTTATCCTTCATTACCTCAGTAAACTCTAATCTAAGATCGAAGTCATCTTCACTTAATTCTTGCAATAAGTTTATTTTGTATGGTTTAAACTTATTTTTACGTAATATACGTAAGACTGAAGAACGACCTACATCATGTACTTGCGCAATGTGGATCTTCAATGAGGATGTATGTGGATCTTCAAAAAAACTTTTCTCTTTCCATCTACCTTTACCTTCTTCAGATTTCTCAAATTGCTTTACAGTTTTTTGTACCGTCGCCTTATGAATAGGAGAACGGTTTACAGAATGGCATTTTAGATAAGCAATTTAAATTGCAGAACTTTTCGAAACACAACTACTGTCAGTTTTAGTTTATAATGTAAATCGTGAACAAATGTCAATATCACAGCATTCTACATTTAAATATTTAAATTTATTAAAATCTATATATTTTGCACTGTTTTATGTATTTAAGACCTTCCAGACTACATACAATCATAAGTGTTACATATTTTTGAACTCGTATTGAATAGTTGAACTCGTAATGAAATTCACACTGAATGCGTGAAAACCATACCAGACCACAAAAATTAAATGTATGATCAGGTATAGTAGGTACTTAGTCAATTGGGTCATTTTTTATCGAAGGAAATTTAATGTCAGATAGTTGGTGTAAATGTTCGGCGTTATTTAAATGAGATATTTTCCGTACGATAAATTGGTAGACAAGGTAGAATTGAATGGCCTCCACGTTCACCCGATTTCAATCCTAAAGATTATTTTTATTAGGGATACTTGAAAAATTCAGTTTACAAAACTTAACCAGCCAAGTCTTGCAGAGCAAAGGCAACGAATTATCGATTAATCTCAAATAATTTCTAGACAATCATGGAGAAATGTGGTAGACGCATTCTACCATCGATTAGGGTACTGTAAACTCACAAATTGAGCATATTTTGAACACTTAATAACGCAACTATTGTTAAAAAATGATCTAATCTATCAATTGTTACGTTTTAATGTAGTTGAAAATAATTAGTATAAAAAATTTATTGAAACAATTAAGAGTTGGCAGACTTCTGTTTTATGTATTTAAGACCTTCCAGACTATAAAAAAATCATAAGTGTTACATATAGTTGAACTCGTATTGAATAGAAGATTCTAATAATGACTGAATATACAGGGTGATGCATTTGAAAAACCAAAGTTACTAATAATATCAGAGAAACGGCAAATCTGGCAACATTGCAAATATCAAATATGGAATCTCCGTATCCCAAAATAGGTGTACCTCAAATTGTGTACAATTATAACTAGCAATTTACGAGATAATTGGCCGTTTCCAGACTTTTGGGCCACTCTGTATTATAATTCTAAATTCGAAAATAAACCTATTAAGGCGTGCCGAAAAAGGACACACAATAATCACAATAAAATAGAAGTAGGAACATTAGAAAAACTTTATGAAGGCACAATTCCTATTAAAAAATACAAATGGAAAGATCTGCAATATCTGACTGCATTCCTCGAGAAACCAGAATTCAGGTTGTTTTATCAACAATTAACAGTTGTTGAACAATCCGTAAAGAGCGATGACGAATTTGTCGACGATCCGTCAATAGACGTCTAATATAGGAGAAAAGTGGCACGCATCTTCTACCTCATTTATTTTTAATATAAGCTTATTTTTACTGTTTTTTAATAAAAAATATATTATTTACCCAAACTTTAAAAATTTATTGTGATTATTTATTTAAATTTGACTTTACAGTTAGTCTATAAATCTTAATTTTAAATTTTCTCGAAATCAATCCAAATGGGTTATTGGCGTTCGTCCGCTGGACCCTTCATATGTAATCAATTGTTTGTTGTTTGTTTGTTTATTTTATTATTTGCCTGTCATAATAAATATAATATAATAATATAATATATTGTCAGACCAATCAAATACACTGCTTAAAATGATCAAATCTTACTAAGAGTAGTATCAGTTTTTTTTTTAGGAACCAGCTGTCCATAAGAAACAATTTACTCGCATTAAAATAGAAACCAAGATCTCTGACGGTAATATAAGAGAGATAAAGATATATTTTATCCCGTGTTATAGTGTATTTTTATGTATGAAAGAGTAATAAAACAATAAATTATGTATGCAAATCCCTAAACTATTGATACGGGTGACTCAATGAAAAACAGATATTTGTCAACAAGTTTACAGAAGTATGTAGGAAAACAATTTTAAATTGAGTATGACCACCAGGTATAAAGGTTGGAGCAGAATAGAATACAATACTTGTGAGGGTTACTAATCCCTAAATAAGGTTGCCAGTGTCGGAGTGATGGAGGTTAACAGGTACTAATGAATTTGCAAGAAATGTAAGATGTTTATTTTATTGGTTATATATAACCAATAAAACTTTAATAAGTACCTACCTATTTGCAAAATAAAGTTTAATTCTTTAGATAAAATAAAACGTTTTATTTGATCTGAAATGAGTGCATTCCACGAAGTAAGGGTTTCAACAATCAAACATTTAATTCTTTAATTCCAGGAATCTACGACAGTAACTGACTAGATAATTACCTTCTAAACTTATTCCACAGAAAATGTGATAGTGGGTTTTTCCATTTTGTAGGAAGGTCCAAGTGGCGTATTCAAAATTCTTAACAGTTCACTAAAAGTAGGTACTTCAGTTGCAAGGTGCAGTTTATTGTGTATACTAGTGTTATGGAAAATTTGGAAGTGCCGTGTAAACGCCGAAAAATTGGTCCTTTAACAGTTAATGAAAAAACATTAATATTTAATTGTTTTAAATCATTTACAGACAAACGTTTATGTGAAAGTGTTGATGAGACCGTTGAGTTAGTTAGCAGTACACTTGGTGTTGGGAAATCTACGATTTATAGAGTTATTAAAGAAGAGAAATGTGGTAGTTTTCAAATGCCACGTAATGCTCCAGGGAAACCAAAATTTCAAATAGAATATCATTTTAAAGAAGGACTTCGACGGAAAGTGCATGAATTCTTCTTTGGACAAGAATTTCTAACATTGGATAAAGTTCTTGTCTCAGTTCGAGATGATAAGGATTACCCAGAAATGAGTCGAAGTACGTTATGGAAACTTTTAAAAGAAATAGGCTTCCGCTGGAAAAAGAATCCCAGAAAGTCTTTTTTATTAGAAAGAAGCGATATTGTCATATGGAGAAGACATTTTCTAAGAACCATAAAGGAAATGAGAAACCAAAAAAGAAAAATATTTTATCTTGATGAAACATGGATCAACGAGGGTCATACACCAAATAAATTTTGGCAGGATAAAACTGTTACAAGTCAAAGGCACGCTTTTGTAAATAACTTATCTACTGGTTTAAACCCACCATCAGGAAAGGGACGCAGGCTGATAATAGTACACATTGGCAGTTCAGACGGTTTTGTTAAAGGTGGTTTATTAACTTTTGAATCAACTCGTACCGGTGACTACCATGAAGACATGAACGCTGATGTCTTTCAAGAATGGTTCGAACAAATGATAGATCTTCTTCCTAAGAACTGTGTAATAGTAATGGATAATGCACTATTAAAAAAGAGGAAAAAATTTGGAAGCTGGACAATATTACTGATAAAATGATCGAGCCAGTTATTATAAATCTTGGTTCTGAAAGTTCATCTTCTGAATCTGATTTGGATTTGTAACAAGTAGCTGTAAGTTTTATATTAATATTTTTATTCATCTATTTAACATACCTTAGATGGTTTTAAAAACTCTTTTTCTCTTTTGTAATTTTTAAAAATTAAAAAAAAATGTGAATTTTTTAAAACCCTTTTTAATGTAGGCCAGTCAGTTCTAATATAGTGTGTGATAAAAGAGGACACTTTTGTTTACATACACATAACACTTTATAACACTGAAATAATTCATTTATTTTTTACAATTATTCAAAGTAATTTTTCAATTAATCTTGAGCACGCCCATGGAGTGGTCTGAGGTACCAGTTAAAATTATGCTAATTACTCTCTCGTTCATAAAAATAAACTATAGGAATATCACCATTATTGTGAAAACTATCGGATGTTAATAAAGTATGTTAACTTACATAATGTGGACCTAATTCCAGATTAAACTTTGTCACATCGCAATCGCGTATACTCTTTATATTCAACTGAACAACATACTCAAATCTGGGCAGAAGAATGTTCTCCAAAATATCCCAATACTGGTCTAAAGCTGGTACACATCGTTTATGACACATTATTTTATATCTTAGGACCAAATGAAAACATAAAAATATGGCTATGGAATCGTAGCAAGATGAAATGTAGCTTTTTAAGTTTTTCTGAAAATAAAAAGGATTTTATTAATATGAATTTTACATTTAGCCTAATATGGTTATACTAATAGTTATAAACAGTTTGCTGGCAAATAAAATTAACCTTGAATTGTTTTAATTTGAAAAATATTAACCACTGTCTTAAGTTAATATACATAAAATTAACTTGGTTTTAAAACTTGGGATGCCTCATCAGCCTCGCATAAGTTTCATCTATCATTATATTGAAGATTGACGGATTCGTTGAGCCCATTCGTTAAAGATTTTTACCTAGTAGTTAATGTACACATAAGCTTCTTTCTTTCAGTTCATGCCTTAATACAGGACCTCTGTGCGTACAAGATCTTCTGATCCAGAACTTTGTTGTTAGCCCCGTATCGCTCGTTTTTCTAGTATTTTTATGTGAGTTTGATGTCATTTTTTGTTCTTATTTATTAAGTATCCTTTTTATATGAAATCACACTATTATTATCATCTGGTATCTTTCTATCATCATTCATATCGTAAAACGTTTTAATTTAACGTTACAGTGGTGTTAGAGGTGGGCTTATTCGTTTAAATTATTTACAAACTAACAATACACTATAAAACATTTACGAACCATTGTTTTGAGCGTAAGTTTTTCGGTTTTTGATACATAAAATTTAAGACTCATTTTTTAAATTCGATCAACAACGGCTGACCTAAGACTCAAGTAGTTCCATGAATTTTCTTTAGGAACGATTTAAAACACTTCTTATTAACAATGGACACAGCCCTGAAGCGTTCAAATTGTAGTCAGCAGAGGCGGAAATCACGTGAAATTTCAAAATTAATTACAGTAAAATTTACGAAAAATTAAAAATTTCTAGAAAAACCGATGAGTAATTTAAAAATGTTTCTAATAAAATTTGAGAAACTTAAAATCGTCACAAAATATTTAGGGAGACAATGAAACATTCGTAAAAATTTCGAAAATGATCAAAGAAAGCGAACGAAAAAAAAAATCGAAAATTGGCAGAAAAATGAGATAATTTCGAAGATTCGAAGAAAAAATAAAAAAAAACTAGAAATTCTGACGACTATTAGCTGACTAATAAGAAAATACTTCCTTTAACCGCAACTTTACGAGTTGATTCTGTCGACCATTGAGTCCAAACCATTGTAGAGGGTGACGAAAAAAACGATGAACGTCTGAAAGAACTGATTCGGAAAATAATGAGTGACACAATTACGGAGAAACGTGAGCCCAGATGCTGGAATTGTAGAGAAATAGTTCACAATTGCAAAAAAACAGTCGGAAAACTAGAGCAAAAAAAAACGACATAAAGGGAAAATCATCGATCTCCAGAAGTAAAACCCTTGTAGTCATTTTTACCACTTTTCTGGTGGAGTTCATAACTTGTACATTGATGGTTGTATCGATAATAAGGGCAAATTGGTTTTAATAGATGCAAAAATAACCATTGCACGACCAGGAATAATAAGAGACCATCTTAGATTGTCACCAGCACCAGTACAACTTAAATCAGCAACTGGGGAGGTAATTGAAACAAAAAGCGAAATAAATATCCCAGTATGTATTGGCCACACAATAATAAAATAAAAAATATTGTTACAAAGTTTATAAGTCCTGACCTGTACTCAGATTACGATTAATCTATAATGTGAGTGACAGGCGCGCCGAATCATCTCCCCTAAGAAATCCTCAGAATTACGACTTTTTAAAAACTGGGGCTATTCATAAGGTCCATGAAGACAAAAATGATGTTTTCCGATTATTAACTACCAAACAAAGAAAAACAAATGCCATTAAAATGTGGGCGTATAGTACAGTGTTGCGAATATTATACAAAGAAAATGGTGACACCATTTTAGATATAAAGCAATTAATGATAACACAAGACTGTCAACAAATATAAATCAGTTCTACTTCAGACTCCGGATACATCTTCTTGCAGTGCCCTATACTCATTAGACGTTGACAGTCAATCTAGCCCACAAAAAATGCACACAGCTTCCCTAAATAATTCCAATGAACTTTTTCCAGTCCACTGTCTTAAGTTCTTAAACCACAATATAAATTGTCTGAACTACAAAGAAAAATAAGCTAACAACTACAATTTCATTTTAGACGATCCAGGATATTATTTTTTATCTTATCTAAACAAAATTGACATAGTAAAAACTTACCTGAAGAAGTGTAAGGGTCTTTTCCATAATTTTGTAGAATAAGTCAAGTGCAGCTTGATTTTTGACAATAAAGTATTCGCTAATAAATAAGTATTCTCGACAGGCGTTATCTACTAGTGCATATTCAACACTTCTAAACAGAGCTTCAAATGGAAACTAAAATTGTATTAAAAATAAACTTTGTCTATTTGTTATGATTGGCAGCAAATTACAAATGTAAATCTTCAAATATCAGTAAGGGTGGTCGACTGGTATGTATTAATTTGTTTAATTAAATATAATTTTAAAAAGACCCACCATAAAATTTATATTTTTTGTGATAGTTTTGTTTTATCTCAATATACTACATTCATTAAACAAATTTAAAATATTTTCAGTGAAGGTGGCCAAACATACAAATGCATTGGATGTGATTGTTTAAAAGAAAATTCCTTCTATTGTTTCTACAAGATAGGATAATGCAAAGAGTTTTTAACACAAGATAGATTTAGCATGGTAATTGTTGAAGATCAAAATCGGCAATGGGATCAGTGAATCAGGGGTCTATTTAATTTACTTCAAACAAAAATTTCAAATAGTTACTGATTTTAAATCAAAAATTGCTGATTTTAAATCATATATTTAAAAAATAATAAACGAATAGAGTGTTTTTTGGGAGTCCATGGACAGATTTGGATATGAAATTACCAAGTTAAGTGAATGATGTCAATAAGGAAAAGAATATTTGAAATTCACCAATTTAGTTGTTCTGATTTCCCAAAGTTGCTCAAATTATACCATTCAATTTTGATTATAGCTGCTATCAACAATTCCAAAGAATACTGTCTTCTTCTTAGGTGCTGGCAATCATTCTGGAGATTTTGTTGGTTGCTATATGGAATAGCTGTGTTGAGGCCTTTCTATACCATGCTCTCAGCTTAGCAAGCCAGTATATTCTCCTTCGTCCTGGGGTCCTTTTTCCTTCAATTTTACCTTGCAAAATGCATTGGAGTAGCTCGTATCTGCCTTGACTTCTCATTATATGTCCCACATACTGCGGCTTAGGCCATCAGCATGTATGTCATATGCAGCTTGTGTTCATCCTCTGCAGTACTTCTTCATTGATGACTTTGTCTGTCCATAGTATCTTGATCCTTCTGTAAAACCATAACTCAAAAGCCTGAAGTTTTGATTGAGTTTCCGCCTTCAATGTTCACGTTTCTACTCCGTACAGAACCACTGAGTACATGTAACATTTAAGGAGCCTTTTTTGTTTCTAGGGTGAGGTCATGGCTCTTGAACACAGAGCTCATAGTCAGGAATGCACTTTTTGCCTTTCCGATGCGACATTTAATCTCTTGGGTATTGTCCCATGACTCATTGATTATAGTTCCCAAGTAGTTGTACTGTGAGACACGTTCAATTCTCATTTGGTTCACATACAGATTTGCTCCAGTTATGTTTTCCTTGCTGATGATCATTAGATTGATTTTACTAGTGTTTATATCCAGTCTAGTTATTTTGTTCATTAAGTTTTGCATCCCTTCTATGGTATTGGAAAACACCATTGTATCATCTGCATACCGCAGGTTATTGAGCTTGACTACATTTATTGAGATGCCTTCATCAATACCTTTTAGAACCTCTTCAAAAATGTGCTCCGAGTACAGATTAAATATCAGTGGTGAAATTATGCACACCTGTCTCACTCCCCTTAAGATTTTGACCTGACCTGATCTGTATATATTCTCCATCTATTCGGAGCACCGCTGATTAATTCCAATGCAGATTAGCTATTATTCTTCCGTCTTTCCGTCAATCCCTGTCCTCTTCAGCACTTCCATCATTTGTTCATGCCTGACTCTATCGAAAGCCTTCTTGTAAGGCATGCAAAAACATTAAAGCTGACATCTCTACATTTCTGAAACAATACTTGCACGCTAAATAAAGCTTCCCTCGTACCAACGGCGTTCACAAATCCAAACTGATTGGGCGCAATTTGTTGCTCGTATTTCCGGTAAATTCTTTTGTGGATGACTTTTAAAAACAGCTTCACAGATGGCTCATTAGGCTTATGGTCCTGTGGTCATCACAAACTTTTGCTCCTGGTTTTTTGGGCAATGATACAAACTCTGATTTGAGCCACTCTGCTGGTATTTTTCCTGCCTTGTACATTTCATTAAATATTTCAGTTATTTTTATTTGTTCTACATCTAATAGCTTCAGCAGTTCTGCAGGAATTTCATCAAGTCACGGTGCCTTTCCATCCTTCATTTGTCTGACGGCTATGTCCTCGTGTTTCTCAAAAAGAAAACTGTCCTCTTGTTAAATATATATACACTTGGGGTTTATTGCACATCTTCCATTCGTGTAGCAACCACTGCGTAGATAGTATCATAACCACCTGGAGATAATAGTGAAGATCAATGGAAATCAACAAATAATGTCATACCAGGGAGAACCTTATACTTACTGACAGTGTCTTAAAATATGTAATAATGCATCCATATTGTCACTATACAGAGGTTAGTTACAATTAAGTCATGATAATTAGCATGTTTTATTTGCCAATGTTGAAAGATACAATGGATTGTTATTAAAATTAAAACATTTACTTTGAAAAATGATTCTAACAGAAAACTCAAGCGGAAATAAAAAATATATTATATAACCTGTGGTTTATTCACAATAACACATTTAAAACAACTAGGATGACCCAAAGAAAAAGTTTCAGAATTATTTTCATTGCATTATGTTAATTATTTATACCTATCAAATTCTCTATTGGGAGTCGAAATTTTCATAAAACAAGTCTTTTTGTTTCTTTTTGGATATTTTATGTTCCTTTTGTGTTTATATAGAAAATTAAACTTTTTATTGTGTTTTTAAAAGTAAATAAATACTTACCCTATTTTTTGTTTCTGCATGTGGAACAATAATAGGAGCTTCTAATTGTTGTGCCAAAACATCTCCTCTGTTCCCAATAGAAAATACTGTTGTCTTATGTTTAAGAGACTTGTTAAACATGCCTCTAGTGGCTGTATCCTCTATTCCCATAAGATCATCAATTGTAATATTTTCTTCATATTGCAATTTCATAATTCTGGCCTCATATGACTTAAAATATGAATAGTATATTTTACTCATTGTGTCTATATATTCATTAGCTATTTCCTCAGCTATATTTCTTTCATTTGATAATAAGAATTCATAGTGCCCTTTATTTTTCAATAGATTATTTTGTGGGATTTGATAGTTGGTCATAGGTTTTCTAAATTTTGATATTTGCTCTAATAAATAGGATCTTATCTTTGACATGGCTTTAATTCGTAACTTTTCTAAAATATCTTTTACATCCAAACATGCCTTTGTATCTTTAAAGCTTTGTTCTTTAATAAAACTGATTTTATGATTTAGAATCTGAAGCTGAGTCAAAAATTCCTTATCTGTGACATTAAGATCCATTATTCCCATAATCAGAGTTTCAGGTACTTTTATATCATCAATAAATTGACTAAGTTGCCCTCTAATTGCCTGACGGTTAGTCAGTTCTTGACTCATTGAAATAGATTTCTTTTGCAATGTTAATATTTCTGAACTTATACTTCCAAGATCATTTTGGAAGTCTAACAACATGTTTTCCATTCTTTCTAATATCTGATCACAAGCGGATATCTGGTTATGTAAACTTGCTATATTCTCACTCTCTTTCATATAAACCTAAAATTAACATTTTCATTAAAACGAAGAGGTAAAATGTTTATTGCTTTTAGACAACGCTCCTGCTCACCCCTCTAAAAATATTCTACATACAGAAGGTGGCAACTTTAGGTGTATGTTTTTGCCAAAAAATACAACATTGCTTATTCGGCCAATGGATCGGGGAATAATTTTGGCAGCCAAACGAATCTATCGCAGAAACGTTTTTTAGACGTTGTAATGGTTGTATTTTACGATGGAGATAATTTAGAAGATACAAGAGGGCAGAATACCTTGCAAAACTTAAGTGTCTTACAATTTAAAATCAACAGTTTTTAATTTTGCTGCAGCATGGGAGGAGGTGAAAAAGTAATTAAAAAATGGTTGGAAGAATTTGTTTGATGGTCAAGATGCAGACATAGATTTAGAAGAGTTGAAAGTTACGGATTTCTGTAGGACTATACATAATAATGCCGGAGATGAGGTAAGATCGCATCTCGATAATCTAATAACATTGATTTATTCATCAAATAGTTAAACTGTATTCTACACATGTTCGTAATTTTAGAGAGTTGGTCATAAAAAACAGCAAACATCGAAAGTGTAAACAAAACAGTATTACCGACAGCAATCGCGTCTATATCCACAGTAACGTCACTTCACGACGAATGTCCGAAGACAATTAAAGTGTACATAAATTGTTTTTATGTTTTTATATAACGGACTTTCGGCTTTAACGGGGTCCCCCAAATAGTCCGTTATATCTAAGTTTTACCGTACTTATGTAATCAGTATTGATAGCCAAGATGCGAATCTGGACCTTTGCACTTGATAAGCACATGGCTGTGTTCACTGGAATTAATCAGTTTATGCTTGGTATACTAGGCGCTTATTCACTGCTTATTGGTTTGGAGAACAAAGATTATTACCAGCGGTTATTAGAAGACAAACACAAAGTATTAAATACAATTGTAAGCCGTAAGGCCAGTGGCCAACAATTAAAGAATAAGTAAAAAGAACAGCAAAGTAACATTTACAATAAAATACAATAAAAGTAAAAACTAAAGATCCACTACAGTAAAAAGTAAAGATATACTTATATATTTTAAGTAACTTCTAATAAATTGTGAATTTTTTCACATTATATTATTTTATACAGCACTTATAAAATCAATCTGCATGTACCATAAACATATAATACGTCCAGGGCATGTACACTCAAGGATTTAAAAATGACAATGAAGACTGTTGTTGACTGCTTTATACACTGGTGTAATACCAAAAGACTAATATTAAACATTGACAAGACGGAAATTGTTTATTTTCATTCGTACAACTCATCTACCTATGACTATATCTTATCCATGATAGAAACAATATGTTATCTTCCACTCACTCTACAAAGTTTTGTGTGTGTTCATTGATTGTAATCCCAAATGGTCAGAGCAAGTGGATTCAGTGAACATGAAATTGAATAAAGCTTTTTATGCTATATCTAGAATTAAAAACACACTTATCATCTCAGCATTAATGAACATTTATGATAGCCTTGCTTACAGCCACATGTGCTATAATGTAATTTTGTGGGGGAACTCAGTAGATAGTAACGAAGTGTTCATTACCCAAAAAAAATTATCCATAAAATTTTTAATTTGGATTATCAACAATCTTGTAAACCAATTTTTATTAAACATGAAATTTTAACTTTCTACTGCCTATATATCTACAAATGTTTACTGTATGTAAAAGAGGAAGTCAATGCATTTCCAGTAAATTCAGACAATAACTATTATAATACAAGAAGTACTGAATCTTTATGAGTTCCTAACACATCATTATCATCTTTGGCTCGACAATCCTCTGTGGATCTTGGCCTGCTCTAAGATTTGTCGCCATTCTGTTCGGTTTTTGGCAACATGTTGCCATCTTCTGATTTTTAATATTCGTAAGTTGGTTTCTCCATCTAACCACCTAATTCGCGGTTGGCCTTTGCTTCTTTTTCCTACAGGTGTTCCTGTGGCTAGCTTTTTAGCAATTGTATTTTACTAAGAGTTCCATTAGAGTTCCTAAATACAGAACATCCAAATTTCGAAATTGCTTCAAATATATGGGACTGACCTTATACAATCATTTGCCAAAAACCTTGAAAGAAATACCACTTTCCACTAAATTTAAAAAAAATGTTAAAGATTTACTCTTAGAAAAGCATATTATTCTATAAATGAATATCTTGAAGACAAACTACAGTGGCTTCATATTTTACTTGTAAAAATGTTATTTTATATATTTTATTTTGTCAATTTTGTTACACTGTGAATATTGTACTATACACATTAATGTTTTTTATACTGAATTCTGTAGTGACATATCCTATACATTATTTTTATGTCTTAAAGGATCAATAAAGTATGACTATGACTATTGTTGTATTTATATTCAATTTCACCATTACACATTTAAAAAATAACCATTTTTAGCAGAGACCAAGCAATTCAGTATAACAAAATCTATTATTAATGAAATGGAGAGTAATTTACCAGCTGCTGACAGTTAGTGAACGCCTATCATCAAATAATTGTAAGCCACTTAGAAGCCACTGAGCTATGGCCACTGCATATTGAAACTATTAAATTATTAAGTATGTAGAATTATCAGAGCAACCTAGATAGCTTAGAGGTAAGTCTAGCCATCTTTGGTGCAGGAATTGCACAAATGACCTGACAAACCACAAAGTCATAATCTGCCTAGTGTAGCTCCTTTATACTTATGTCATTTGGATGTGATGTAAAGCTGAAGGTCTCTTTTATCTGGGTACACTAAATAATACACAACACAAATATATGCAGAGGACTTGTCTATGACTTGTCAGTGTTGTTTAAGCAATAATCAGAAACCAGACATATAGCTTTAGACCAAATAGACAAAGACATTTCCATTGATAGAGAAATGAACACTAGTATAATGCTAATGGGAAACAACTTCATTGGTCATGGACAGAATTAAGTTTCTTCTTCTAAAAAGCTAAGATAGATAATAAAAAATATGTAATTTAGTTAATATTGTGAAGTCAAGTAAGTATACAAGATAAGCAGTAAAATAGCGTTCTGGATTTCTGAAAATGACAAAAATTTAAATTAGATATCTTTCTAGTAATTTAATACTAAAAAGAAATAAACTAATAAAAACTGCTTAAAAATATTGTCAAGGTTTTTGAAAGGCATAACTAAATTTAATTTAACAATTCAAAAACATTGAATTATTTGATTTATAGTTTTGTAAAATAATAAGGCGGTATAAGCCATATATTTTCATGATCTATACAATAATACATGTTGATCATAGTCCTCTTCAAATTCATTAGTTTTTATTTTGCTAGTTACATTGCTGATCTAATCCAATTTGGCCTTCTGACTTCTTTAGGGAATCCCAGACACCCTTTAGCAATGTAAAATAAGCCAACTGGCTGCAGTAGACAGTAGAATCAGTTTACAACGAGACAACCCTTAAGCAAAGGTTCTAGTTGTTCTTTTATAACCATATTGTTTATATTTGTAGGTACATCTAGTCTTGTCATTAAACTTTAGAACATTTTGTTTTGTCCACTCATTTTAGTTACATTACTTTTACTTTGATAGATAGATCAACAAAAAATTAGATTTTACAGGTTGTGCATATGAAAAGTAATACAGAAATCATAGGGCAAAACAGCATTGTGTTTAATGTGGTTTGAGAATTAAACAAATCCCCCTCCATCATAAGTATTTGTTAGGATCAATCATAAGTTAAACACAGTAGGAATGAAATAAACATAATAAATGTGTTATGAATGAGAAATAAATGGACTTCAGTAGGAATTATCTAATTTGTAATTCTAAAGTTAGGTTTTACTTTTTGAGACACAATGTAACATTTCTATCATTATAAATATAGTTTTACATTATAAAAAGGACAAACCTTAACAGATTGGTCTTCTGTATTTCTAAGTTCATTTTCTATTTCTCTAGAATAATGTCTCAAATCTGTGAATGTATTTAAAATTTCTTGGACCACTTTGTCACTACTTGTAACTTCTTGACCGCTTCCTGCTACTTGAATGTATTCATTCTTTGTGACTAATTTCGGCCCTTCGCCAGTAATTGGATCAGTCATTATGTATGAAATATTGTGAAAATACTAGAGGATTTAATAAAATTTTGATAATTACAAAAACAAGTGATTTATGAATGTCAATGTCAAAATATGCAATTTAGGTCATGAATTATCTAAAGAAGTAGTTCAATTGTAATAATGTAAGTAGTTTAAATGCAACACCTTTTAAAATTTATCTTGGTGTAGTTGTTGAAGTAACAATATTTGTTTATATCTTACATATTTGTGTTTTATATACAGAAATTAATAAATAAATATAATAAGTAATTATATATAAAAAATATTCAAGTAAAAAGTAACTGATTATCCGACAAAACTCATTGAAGTCTCTGCAAAAAGAAGAATTCACAAATTTATGTTGGTACTCTGAAAAATCAATAGAAGTGACCAACAAAATAAAGCTGAAAAGTTACCAAGTTTCTTTTCTGATAAACTGTCATCCAAAATGGTAAGTTTTAAAGAGAATTTTAAGTTATCTTCAAAAATAATTGTAATCCTGAGGTTTGGAATATTTTATATGAAATTTTAAATTAATAGAGATTTGGTATTAATATGTTGTAACAATATTTATCAAAAATATATACATAAATTCTAATAAACAATGGCAAGTTAACCTAACATTTTTTTTGTTTTAGTCTTTGGTAATACCAGAGAAGTTCCAACACATTCTTCGTATCTTAGGTACGAACATTGATGGTAAAAGGAAGGTACAATTTGCCCTTACAGCAATTAAGGGTGTAGGTAGACGGTATGCCAATATTGTACTCAAAAAGGCTGACGTAAACTTGGACAAACGTGCTGGAGAATGTTCCGAAGAAGAAGTAGAGAAAATTGTTACCATTATGTCCAACCCACGTCAATATAAAATTCCTGACTGGTTCTTAAATAGACAAAAAGATATCATTGATGGTAAATACAGTCAGGTAAGTCTTACTGTCGACGTCAACATTTGTAAATAGTAGTTTGGGCAATATATAAGGAAATATTAATCACTATGACTGACTGGATAAATGATGGAAAGTATAGTATGTTATGGACTGTTTTTTGCATGTCTTTCCTAGGATGAGAATGAGCATAACTTGTCTACATGGTGCTTTGTAGTTTGTAACAAGGCAAACATCAGTTTTTGTAAGAATTCATGGCATTGTTTTGTTTAAATTGGATTCTTTTCATAAATATCTGTAGTCTTATTTTTGTATAAATCATTGCTGATTATACTGTCACAATTTCCTTATAAATTTATTCTTGCTTTTTCTTATTTCATTCTTAGGTTGTAAACATTTAAGGTTCCTACCATTTCAAATATCAATCAAATTTGATTCAAGGCTATATGCTATTTTAAAATTGAAATAGAGTTGAATGTGGTAGACTCAAGATATATGTTACATTGGGGCAGTGATATTGTGAAAACATGCTTATGCATTTCATTGTTAAAATCATTTTAGCACATTTAAACGGCTGCTTTTATATGCCATATGAAAGTTGCTGGTAGCATGTGCAACATTAATGCAAATCTTCTGTCTTTTCTGAAGAAAGCTTGAATATGTGGATTAGTCACTGCTTATGTGATATCTAAAAAGCAGTTCAAGTAACTTCAAGAGAAATTGTCTTGATTTGCAACAATTTTTTACCCTTACAAGATTAAAGATTATAAATGTTGCATGTTATAAAAGATTTGCTGTTAATGTTAATTATTGATCAACTTTCTTTTACTTTGCAGTTGACTTCTTCCAGTCTTGACTCCAAACTTCGTGAAGATTTGGAAAGGATGAAGAAAATCCGTGCCCACAGAGGTATGAGACATTACTGGGGTCTTAGAGTAAGAGGTCAACATACCAAAACTACTGGACGCCGTGGACGTACTGTTGGTGTATCTAAGAAGAAGTAAATGTAATATTTATAAGAGAAATACAATTTTTTTTTCATTTCTTGGTTTTATTAATTACCAAACAATTTTCATCCATATAAATATTTAGCAAAACATAAGCTAAGTTTGAATGTTTCACTTTATAAGAGTATAATTTACAGATTAAATAGAAGTATTCTGTTTTTATTTAGTTATAGACAGATAATAGTAATAAAAGTGTATGAATTTCAATTGCAAAGATCTTATCCATAGAGAACAAAGAAAAAGAAAGAAATAAAGGTTCATAAAGAAGAATTAAATGGAGTAAATAATACTGTGAGAGTAAAATTTGAAAGATATTGAATCATAGTTGTAGATGAATAGAATAAAGACTGACTTCAAAACAAAAATATGAATGAAAATTAACTGGTGAAGTAGTAAAATTTCTGAATAAGGATATTTGAATCATTAGTTTGTAGAATGAATTAGCAATAAAGCAACTGTATCCTTTCAACAACAAAAAATATGATTGAAATGAGAGTTGGTAGTTTGGATTTATTTATTAACGGATATACCATTTACAATTTCAACTAGGATTTCTTCCTAGGTGGTGCTAGGAGTTATTTTCCAGGACAAACTGTGTGAATAGTTATCCTAGCAATATATATAGATACTTAACCACTATTATCATAGTAAGATTTTGTTAGTTCCTAAGCAAAAAGCCCATGTGCCTCCTATCAATGAGGAACTCAAAGCAAAAATAATCTAAAAAAAATAAAATTTTGTAAAATCGTATCAGTTGGCCATATACATCTCTACTTTGTAACACTACACATTTGTAGCTCTGGTCATCCTATCAGAAATTCCTGGTGTTTTCTTGGTTGGTGAAATTGACATGTTTCCAGCTCTGCACAAGCCTTGGAGGAGTAAGTAAAACTGCACTTCCTCAGGGGATAACTCTTCACAAATAATTAGTATACCAGCATTATTCTTGTTAACACTGGTCCAACAGAGAAATGAATTGTCCTGAAGTTAGGAAAAAAATGGCTCTACAAAGTAATTCAGGTGTAATTTTAAAATTATGTGACAAAAGGGTTGTCGTTATGATTTAAGGAAGGGGCTGTACAATTGACCGGAAACTGGAATGAGAACGGAAACTGAAAGCATCAGTAGATTCACAATTAAGGGTAAACAAGGTGTTTTGTGCTATAATACGAATATTTAAATGTTTTGTCACTGTCACTTGTGCTGTTATTTATTTTTTTCACAAAATAAATTTTGTGGAACAATCTTATTCCAATTTTATTAAAAGAGAATAATACAAAAACTGATACAAATTTAACCCCAGCTGTTCGAAAATGGCTGCAAATGCTGTAGCATGATTAACGAATAGATTAGCCAACTATTTAATATCTGATGTAGGTTCAGTACCGTGGCAGCATAAATATATTAATAGGGGCAGAATTTATTTTTTTTTTTTATTGTAACCAATGTATATAAAGTATTATTCTTGAAAACTAAATTTTACTCAACTGAAATGAAAATAATTAGTTCTTTTGCATAGTTTATTATGTTACTCTGTATATTTCAATAAAAGATCTACATCTTTTTTGAATTTGTTTTTTTTTTCCACTAAAGAAATCAATAGTTTGTCATAGTTATTCATTTTAACGTAAAATAAATAAAATGCTTAGACAAGAGGAAAATGGTCACTCACAATGTAAACAAATTTTTATTTGGCAATTGTCAGTATTTTGAATACTGCTTTCTAATTGGTTTCGGGAATAAAACGGGAACGAGAAAGTTGAAACATGGGCAACTTTCCCGTTCTCGTTGCCGGGCGGCTTCTAGTTCTCGATTATTGTGCATCTAAACATTGATTTACGTAAAGGTTAACTTTTTTACCGTTTCCGTTCTCGTACCCGTTCCCGGGCAATTGTGCAGCCGCCTTTAGTACAGAGACAAAATGTTGAAATGTCAACATAAAGGCAAAGAAATTGGAAGGCCCAAAATGATTGTTGGTTACAATGATTCAAAATCTTTTACTGATCTCTCAGATGAGAAGAAAGTATAGGTATTCACATATCTTAAAAAGGGGATATTAGTGCTACAGGATTATTATTTGGTAGTGCCTTGGTAACTATATCAGAGTTCAATTAAAATTTGAAATATTAAATTCGCTTTAAGGTATCGATTTAAATGGTCCAATGTGCTCTCCCCATTTTTAAAATACTGTAATGCAGATATAAACCTTAGATTTAAATATGAAGTCCTGATATAAATATAGAGTTAATAGTTTATAAAAAAGTTGTAATTCAGATTTTGTAGTATATAATTACATACTATCATTAAGTTTAGTATTGTAAACAAGTTGGTTTTTGAATTAAGTGATTTAAACGAAGTGTAACAAATACTTAAGTGATCAAATAGTCTAATTTATTTAGTCGAATATTCAATTGGTATTAAAAAAAAAAAATACTTATTCTCCTAATCTCCTAAAACTATCATCAACCATCAGATTCACAGCCATAATCTGTCGGCGATATATGAAACTGTATATAAATGTTCGTTACTTTTTAATATCTGTAACGACTCGGTACTTTAACTATCAATAGCAGGTATGTTATACCCGTTACTTTCGGAACTTTTAAGAGTACATCCACTCAAAACAAACAAATATTTAAAACTAACAAAGTGAAATATTAGATACTGTTTCTGGTTTGTGAACCATCGTTTTGCCAATTTTTTTTTTCATTTATATTAAAAATAGTATATTTCTTTTTATTACAGTATTAATAGTATATTTCATTGTATTTATTTGTAGGAGCGTTTGCGTAAATTTTTCTGTTATTTTCGGATTAAATTTCACAATAAATTTTGCGTCTATCTGAACATATATTAACTGAAATAATTTTAGTTTAGATGTCATACTAACAGTAGGTCCTTTTTATTGGAATAATGATTAGATCAATTTACTTTCATACTTCTACTTTCACAGTAAAATATTCGTTGTCGCAATAATCCAAAACTGTCGTATATTCGTGGGATAACCTTAGAACTAATGGGCAAAATTTCCACTAAAGAAAATAATTTCAACAATAAAACCAATGTCAGTCATGAGCTTCAGGAAAGAAAACAGATGCCTTATTTACTACGTTTGCATCAAAAACAACTTATGGCAGAAGGAAGCTTAAAACAAGTCGTCGTTCTAATTTTTTGTAAATGTAAAAAACATTATTTTATTCCTTGTTTTCCTTGAAACATAATGACACAATAAAATAATAAAGTTTTATATTTTCTTATACTACACTAAGTTTTTCATAAAGTTTTATCTCTCCTACAAACTGTCTAACATCCGACCAGCAATTTTTATTTTGCTATAGATATCGTCGAACAACTGTGTCCAACTTACAATATCATTACGTAGGCTGCAGTCCATGATAGGTTGTCAATAATACAAAACTGGAGTGTGGTATTAGAGTGATAATTCCTCACTGTCCCAAGAATACAGTTTAGTGAGGCATCACATTGATGCCACCAGGGCTGAACGTGTTATTGCTATATTTTTTAGGATAAGGTTTAAATGAGAGAAACAAAATATAAACTAATAAAAATAATATATTACAAATAAATGTACAAATCCTTAGACTATTTTATATACTTAAATAATATAATTTAAAAGAATAATAATAGATAGTTCATGCCTATGACACCAAAATATTTACAACTTACTCTAATATGATATTCATTGTTTAACTTTAAAACGAGCTCTAAAAGCATACATATTATTTATTTAATCGGTATTTAAAACATTAAAATGTTGCATAAATTCTTTTACATAATATTCAGTAACCAAAATAATTTTTTGTTTTTTAGAAGAAAAAATGTCGTGTAAATCAGAAAATATTTTTTCTTTTCATTTATAGTTTCGTTACATGGTTACATTGTAGTATATGCAAGCACGTACATAATTCCTCTGCTAATACCCAGAGTGATTAAATCCACATCGAATAACAAGCCCCTAATATATGTAAGTATTATCTAGGTAGACACTAATGTAAAAATGTGGTCCATCTTTACAAGATCCATGGAAATTATGGATTTGGCGAATCTTTCACATGAGTACAAATGTTTTTTGCAGCATTGTCTTCGGTATCTACGGTTATCTTATTTATTTAAGCTCTTAATTTTTTTTCAGCGGAGATTAAAAACCAGATCTCCTTCACGCCAAGGAAGAATCCTACTGGCTCTGTAACCACAGAGGTTACGTCAAGTACGTTACTGGTTTTTATTATCTATGAATGAAACATTTTAAAATACACAAACTAATGACTACCTTATTAGAGTAAAAAGATCTTTTTTTATAAATTATTTTCTAAAACAAGGGTAGCATTTTTGTCTATTGTAACAGTGTTCTAATCATACTTTCAATATATCTTATGTGTGATATATTTAAAACTGAGTATCCTTTAAAAACCAATGAGTGCTAATTAATAATAGTAATCACATAATGCCGTTGGTTTATGAATGTATTTTTTTGAACACTAAAACCTTGATAATATTGATTAGGTATTTAATATCTTCATTCGTGTTTTGATCATGGAACGGCTATCCCGAACTGGTTGGTTTTTCTTTATTTGCTGATAGAAAATGCCGAATAAATAACAAAAAAAAGACGTCTAAAGAAGAGTATCTATCGCATGTATGACACCATTAGTTGCTGGTATATTTTGTGTAGTTAGAAGGTTGTTGTTCACTTTCACTTTACCTGAAACAAATTAATTGTAATTAATTAATTAATAATACAAAAAATTGTGACGGTTAAACGAATATAACAAAAATATTGAAAATTAATAAGAACTTATATGGGTTATAATTCACATTTACGTTTGTTTCTTCAATGTACCTACTTTTTCCTTCAACTTTTTAATCGAAATTTAGAAAAAAAAAGAGGTTAGTCTTCGTAAGTGGTATATTTATTTAAAAACCCTTAAAAGGGCTACATCAAAAAAACAAACGTTTTCGGACTAAACAGTCCATCATCAGGTTTAAAATCGCTAGGTTAAAATGCCTGAGCCACCAAAATACATGGGTAAAAACCCTTTAAATTACATATAGTTATAAAAGATAATACATCTTGTTGTTAAAAAACTGTGATGTTCAATATTAAATTAAATTTGACTTCAGGTAACATACATTGTAAAAATTGAGTTCCAGAGCCGGGGAGAAAACCTCTACGCACGGAGAACAGCTGGAAACTGTTTAAATGAAATTTAAAAAGAATCGAGGCTTTCGAACTCTGGTTATACTGCAAAGTATTAAAAATATCATGGACTGATAGAATTACAAATAAAAAAGTACTGGAGAGGGTTGGTAAAGAAACAGAACTAATCACCACTATACAAACCAGAAAACTGGAATATCTAGGCCACGTGATGAGGGGTCCAAAATATGAAATTTTGAGACTCATAATACAGGGAAAGATTCAAGGAAGAAGATCTGTTGGCCGAAGGCAGAACGCATGGTTAAATAATCTACGTGATTTGTATCAATGTAGATCGATTGATCTGTTATTTAGAGCAGCAAGTTCTAAAATAATAAATAGCAATTTGCATGTATACAGAACCAAAGTCTGTTAGGCCATTCATCGATCGCTGTACGGATGACATTCATAGGAAATTTGCTCATAGCTTCTACCAGCGCCTGCTTCAATGACTCCAGATTACAGTGTCGTCTTATACAGAACATGACCTCTATAACTGACCACAATTTGTAGTCCAGTGAATTAAGGTCTGGGCTGGATGACTACCATTGATTAGTACTAATAGCACTTGAGTAGTTTTGCCCTTTTGTGCCTATGCAGAATTCTGTTGGAATATCCATGATCTACTTTGGAGCATAGTTTGGTTGAGGGACTTCACTACATTTTTGTTAAAACGACCCACTGATAATTACTCGCCACCGTTTTAACGCCTTTTAAAAAATGACCTCGCTCGATCTACGGCACCAGCTCTTGGTCTTCTATGGATCACCGTCCATAAACTCTATCGTATTGAAAGTTTCCTCCACAGTAAAAATGTTTTCATTTCAGAACACAATAATCGAATAATATCGAGAAGTTTACAAAGCTAATTTACATATTAATATTTTTTTTTATTATTATTGAGTTAATGCCTCAACAACTAACATCATTGACATGGTACAGTCAGGTACCTAGTGTAGTGTTTGTGGTGTGTGTGGTGCGTGTGCGTGTGTGTGTGTGTGTGTGTGTGTGTGTGTGTGTGTGTGGTGTGTGTGGTGTGTGTGTGTGTGTGTGTGTGTGTGTGTGTGTGTGTGTGTGTGTGTGTGTGTGTGTGTGTGTGTGTGTGTGCGCGCGTGTGGGTGTGTGTGTGGCGCGTGTGGGTGTGTGTGTAGAGTAATTGTCTTGATACTTAGCAAAGTCGACGTCATTGTCTTTGCTAAGAGACGCTAATTGTATCCGAACGTTTGCCGTCCCTCCGGTCAGTACCGATCGCACAAGGATAGAAATTATTTTCATTCATTAATTTTTAATAAACGAAAATTTCTCCACCCATTATTGTCAATAACTCCGCCTGTGGTGACTAATGGGTGGATTGAATAGCTCAGGAGTCACCATTGCCGGTCCTAAGCCCGGGTAAAGGAGGAAGGTTGGGCAGTGGGCTAACAACCCACTCCCGAAAAACACACTGTTATGAAACCTAAACATTTGCCTCGGAACAAGGGGAACTTTCGGAAACGACTAAAGCTACGAAACATGGACTATGCATTTGGAAGTTGGAATGTGAGGACGCTAAATAGACCAGGAGCTCAAACTGCACTTCTACAAGAACTAAAAAGATATAATCTTATGATCACTGCTCTTCAGGAGACAAGATGCTGGGGAAAGGTGTCAGGGACACCAAAACGCACACAATTCTATATAGTGGCAAAGAACAAGGAATCAAAGAATGTGGAGTTGCATTTGTGTAGATAATGATTTTAAGTCAAAAATCATAGATTTCCAGGCAGTGAATGAAAGGATATGCAAACTAAGAATTCGCACCCACTTCTTCAACCTTACTATGATAAACATCTACTGCCCAACAGATGAACAAGAGCAACATACAAAGGAAAGCTTCTACCAACAGCTGGAGATAGTATATGACAACGCGCCAAAAAATGACATTAAGGTTATAATGGTGATATGAATGCCAAAATAGGCAAGGAACCGCAGTTCTATGGCACAACAGGAAAACACTCACTGCACAATGAAACAAGCGAGAATGGGGAGTTTTTGATAAATTTTGCCACCATAAAAACATGGTTATAAGCTCCACATACTTCCCACATAAAGACATACACAAAATGACGTGGATCTCACCAGATGGAACCACAACCAATCAAATTGACCATGTGATGATAGACAAAAGGTAGCCAGTAGTATCTCTGATGTGAGAACACGACGAGGAGCATGCTGTGGATCAGACCATCTTTTACTGCAAACCAAATTTAGGTGCAGAGTTAACAGAGAAAGAAACGAAAGACAACAAAGAACAAACAAACTAGACCTGAAAAACTGAAGACTCAGGAATGTAGAGAGAAGTTCGAGCAAGAAGTCACAAATGAGCTGAGGACACAAGAACTGCACTCCATAGAGAGCAAATGGAATAATATCAAAACAGCAGTGCTGACAGCAGCAGCGTCCACCGTGGAAACAAGAAAAAGAAGAGAAGAGGAACATGGTTTGATGACGAGTGCAGGCAAGCGATAGAAGAAAGAAACGAAGCGCACAAAATGTACATAACAAGAAGAACACGAGAAAGACGAACATCATTTGAAGTCGCAAGACGGAAAGCAGACAAGATATGCAGAAACAAAAAGAGAGCTTATGAAAATGGACAAATAGAAGAAATGGAACAACATTTAAAAAAAAAACGAAATTAGAGGAGCTTACGAATACCTAAAAAAGATAAAAAGTGGATATAAACCTCAAACAAGCCTATGCAAAGATGAAAGTGGGCAAATAATCAGTGACCAACAGAAAGTCACAGAAACCTGGAAGCATTATTTTCAGACCCTACTTGGAATACAAGTAGATATGGAAGATGAAATGGGTACGAACCATGTAGAAGAGAACGAAGTTGAAGTAGAAGCTCCAACCATAGAGGAAGTTCTCGAAGCTATTAAGGCCCAAAAAAACAATAAAGCCGCGGGAGTTGACGAGATTCCAGCAGAACTGTATAAGGTTGGTGGCAACCACCTATCAAGTCATATCCACGCGCTTATCAAAGAAATATGGCAAGAAGAGAAAATACCCGACAAATGGAAGAAAAGTATAGTATGCCCAATCTATAAAAAAGGAGACAAACTCCAATGCAAAAACTACCGTGGAATTTCTCTACTATGTACAGCGTATAAAGTCCTCACGTATATTATAAACCAGCGACTCCAACCACTAGCAGAAAATATTATTGGAGAATATCAGACGGCTTCAGACGGGGAAGATCGACAATGGATCAAATATTTACAGTCAAGCAGGTCTTGAGCAAATCGTGGGAACACGACATTGATGTTCACAACGTGTTTGTAGACTTCAAACAGGCATACGATTCAGTCAAAAGGGACAGACTATACTATATATTGGCAGAATTAGCAATACCACATAAGCTAATTAGACTCATTAAAGCCACAATGGATGAAACTCAGGCATGTGTACGAATACAAAACAACCGGACAGACTTTTTCAAAATCTCGCAGGACTAAAGCAGGAGATGGGCTGGCACCAACATTGTTTAACCTGGCACTGGAGTATGCGGTTAGGCAAATGCAAACTGGACGAGAAAACCTACTGACCAATAAAACGGTTCAACTGGCTGCCTACGCCGATGATATTAATATTATGAGTAGAACATCAACAGGAGCACAGGAAGCATACGCAGAGTTAAAAACACAAACGAAAAGGCTAGGTCTGGAAATTAACACAGAAAAAACAAAAATAATGGTACAGACGAGAAGAAATATAATCCCACAAAACATTATACATGAAGATGACATTGAAACGGTTGGAAAGTTTACATACCTGGGAGTAGAAATATATGCCGATGGAGCAGAGGATGGAGAAATACGAAAAAGGATAACGCAGGCAAACAAAGCTTATTTTGCCCTCTCCCATATATTTCGGTCTAAAAGTGTCCACCGAAATACAAAGATGAGAATCTATAAAACTTTAATTCGGCCAATAGCATGTTATGGCAGCGAAGCATGGGTCCTGAAAGAAACATCCAAAAACAAACTCGACACATTCGAAAGAAAAGTACTGAGGAGAATACTAGGACCTGTGAGGGAAAACGGAATCTTCAGAATTCGATATAACAACGAGCTCTATCAACTGTATAAGGAAACACCCCTGTCAGACTTCATTAGAATACAAAGATTGCAATGGGCCGGACATGTGATACGAATGGGAGAGGATAGGCTACCAAAACGAGCACTGAACGCCAGAATGCAGGGAAAGAGACCAGTTGGAAAGCCAAGAAAGCGCTGGGAAGACACAGTAAGCAGCGACGTACAAGCACTTTTAGGAGTCCGTGTATGGAGAAGAGCAGCCACAGACAGACAAGGGTGGAGGCAAAAAATAAAGGAGGCCAAGGCTCATTTTGGGCTGTAGTGCCGTAGAAGAAGATTATTGTCAATATTTTATTCTAAAATTTGCAAATTTATATTATTATAATAAAAATCTTTTATTAAATAAAAATACATTTACCTGATTGTTTACTAAAAGTAATTTGTCTGTCTTGCAAAAGGCTATCTTTAATCTGGTAGTACCTCATACCGTTTGTGTACAATGTACCTGCTATGAGGTGCCTTAGTACTAGTTCCCTTGCTAGAACTTTATCCGTTACCAATTTGCTGAGATCTTCTGTAGATAATCCAGCAAATGCTTTTTCTGTGGGCGCTAAGAGGGTAAATATTTTTGATCCTGAAATAAAAATATAATTTTAGTTATTTTATATTCATGGATACGGTTTTGATGGCAGATTCAGCCTTAGGTCTTCACAGGCCTACAGATTTAATCTTAGTATAACTTAAATGAACACGAAAACAAACAGTAATAAAACCAAAGTGGTGACCTTTCCTCGGCCTCAGAATGTTCCTATGCCTATCCTTTTTCTTCTTCGTGAACCTCATCCTTTAAGGACATGGCGATTATTATGGTCCATTTTACTCTGTCTGCAGCAGTTCTGAAGGGTTCTATTGTTATTGTGATTGTCCAGGCTTTAACTCCATATAAAAGGGCAGAGAATACGTTTCATCTCAATACTCTAGTTTTAATTTCTCTTCCCAGTTTTCCATTGTATACCTAATACTGCTTTCATCTTTATTGAAGGCGCTTCTGGCTATTTACTTAATAGCCGTGAAATTCTGGGGTTATTTGAATCGACGGTAAGTTTGATTTGTTTAGGTTTGTTAGCCTAATATTGGTATAGGAAAGAGGTAGTGTTCACAAAGTAGAGATTTTGATTGAAGAAATGTAAGTATTTGAAAATTTAAAATTTAAGTTGGATAAATAGATTCATATAGGATAGTAAAATGAACAGATTAATTTTTTTTCCATTCATGCTTTCTAATCGATCACAGAACACATTCTGAAGTATTGAGTTACTTTGATTTGATGAAATTGTAGTTGCATAAGTAGGCTTAGATATTACTTTCCTTAAGAAAGTGGAAGTTCTCCAGTAGATGCTTTATATGGGGGTATAACGTTTACTTTTGTAAAAATTGTTTATCTTTATATTTTTCTTCTTCTTCTTCTATCTTTATTATTATTCTTTATCTTTTTTAATTTCACAGCATTCCTTGATGGGATATCTCGACAAAGTTACATTAACAACACGGCGGCAGTTTCCTCCGACCTCTCCACTAATCTTAAAGTTACCTACAAAGAAAAAAATGATACAAACTCTACCTTGCACACATCTCCGTCCTTGTCGCTTTGCTAGCTTAGTTGATCGTGACTTATATTTTCACAACTTGACATTTTTTCAACCAAACTTTGAATTAACGAAGATTAATCCTTCTCATTAAGATCGTCATCCTAAATGGGGTCATAAAATTGTTTCCAATATTTTTTCATAGTTGAGTAGTTCAAATTCTGAGGATTGTCGATTAGTAACACTGCCTTTCTTGGTAAACTTTTTGATTTCAAAACGATTTTAATATTGGCTACATCTTCTTCTTCTTCGCGTGCCATATCAGAATTATCCGACGTTGGCGATCACCATTGCGAAGGCTTCTCGATCTTCTGCAATATGGAATAATTGTCCTGCATTTGGTATCTGAGTCCATTCACGAATGTTTTAACCAAGAAACTTGTTTTCTTCCTACACCTCTACGGCCCTCTATTTTGCCTTTAAGGATCAGTTGTAAAATTTTATATCGACTTCCCCTTACTATATGTCCCAGATAAGACATTTTCGATGTTTAACAGTCTTTAGCAGTTCTCTGTCTTTGTTGACGCTCCTTAGTACTTCTTCATTAGTTTTTCTTGCTGTCCAAGGTATCTTCAGCATTCGTCTATGAACCCTCATTTCCAATGCTTTAATTTTGTTCATGATCGATACTTTTAGCGTCCACACTTCTGCACTATACAAAAGTACAAGCCAAACATAGCACTTAACCATTTTTTGCCTTAGTTCTAAACTAAGATGGTTATTGCAAAGAAATGACTTCATTTTTATAAAAGTAGTTTTAGTCATTGCTATTCTACGTTTTATTTCTATGTCTGGATCTAGTTGGTCCGTTATCACAGTTCCCAAATATGTCATTTTGTGAACTTTCTCAACTTGGACTCCGTTCAATTGAAGCTTTGCATTGGGATGTGGGTCACGATTAAACATTAAAAATTTGGTTTTGTTTGAGTTTACTTTAATGCCCATTTCCTCTCCTATCTCGTGAATACGATCAAGCAGAATTTGAAGACCTTCAATATCTGATAGAATTACTGTATCGTCTGCATATCTAATCACATTAAGTAGTTCCCCGTTGATTTTTATTCCATATGGTTGTCTCTCAAGTGCCTTTTTAAATAGCTGGTCCGAGTAAACATTGAACGATGTTAGCGACAAAATGCAACCTTGTCTGACTCCTCGTTGTATGGGGATTTCATCGGTGTAGTTATCTCCAATTTTTACGATAGCAGTTTGATTCCAGTACAAATTTTTAATGACACGAATATCCTTGTCATCTATTCCGATATTTTTCAGTATTTGCATTAATTTTACATGCTCTACTTTATCGAATGCCTCTTAGAAGTCCACGAAACATGCAAATACATCTTTTCTTTGGTCACGGCATTTTTGTAATAGGATGTTAAGCGCAAAAAGTGCCTCCCTGGTTCCCATAGCATTTCTAAAACCAAATTGGGTATCTTCAAGATCTTCTTCGCATTTGCCTCTAATTCTGTTGTGAAGTATTCTGAGGAAAATTTTAAGAGTGTGGCTCATTAGGCTAATTAATTGGCTACATACTGATCAGAAATTAATGAATTGAACACCTATGAATTTTTGTTGTCACTCGAAGACAGTGCATATAAAGAGACTAGATGAAAAGAGGTAAGTCCAAGATTAAAAAACTCTTGAATCATCGATAAAAGAAGAAGAGAAAAATTTATAAAAATTGAATAAATAAGTAGTTACAAATTTGAGAAAACTGAGGCTGGAGTATTCAAGAAAATTGTCTTTTGATACAAACCTTGTAACATTTCGTCTAATCCTGATGCAAAAATAGCTCTCAAGAAACTAGTAAATCTTCGTTCTCTATCTGATTGAAGTGTCTGAACTATATCTCCTACTGGTAGTGGGAACATTACTCTATCTATAGCATGTGCAACTCCTTGCGGTATATCAATGTCCTGACTTTCTTCTTGAATTTTGGCTCCATTTATGGTTGTTATCTAAAACAATATTAAAACAAAATCAATATTATTATAATATATTAAGATATGATTAGCTTCAAAATAAATGAAGAGAAAATCAAAGTAATGATAACAACTCTGAACAGCAGAGCTTAAGATAGAAACACTAGTCAAAACTTGAGCGCGGAGAATTACAATTTCGATATCGTAAAAAAAATCAATTTACTATTTTTATTAGGAATTTAATTAGTTTGGCGATATACTGAGAAATCAGGACCGTACACGCTTCGTTTCAAAAATATTATAGAGTTAAATAAGAGAATAAACAAAAAAAAATCAAATTAATTCTATAAAAAGTGCCTGTATCCATAAAATATCTAATATCTCGTAAATACTTATATACATATATACAAAAAAAATGCAAGTAGTTTACCCAATAAATATATATTATATATAAAATGTACAAGATCATAACTGAAATATACTGTACGTACAGTACTAAAAAAAACAAATGAGCACTAAATCTGAGATATTTCGCGTTAATTAATACTAATCTCAATCGATATCCAAATCGTCCTTCATCTGAATCATCTTCTATATTAATTGGACGGCCTCAGTGCAAAAGGAAACAAGTCATTTTTCGGATTTTTTTTTCTCATGTGATAATAATTGGTTTACCAATGTCTAACTCTGTGCAAAAAGAAACAAGTCTACTACCACTGAAAGGCTACATTTTTTTACGTGTAGAACGTAATAAGTTAAATAATATGAAAAACTTCATTTGTGCAAAAGGAAATAAGTGAACTTGTTACCTCCTTTACAGTATTTGAATTCACCAAACACTGCCTGAATGTCATGTTTTCAGTTAGTAACAGTACATTTTGGTTTGGTTTGGTATCTTTTGTCCGTCCTTGTTTAAGACACTACTACTCTGGCAACCCTGTCCTTAATGATATGTGCATAGATTAGTTCAACCTTGGTGGGAGTGTGCTATGGACATGTGCTTGGTGCAATGCAAAGGTTAAGTGTTGTTGGAGGCTATTTTTGTGTTTAAGTCTTACTTCCTCAGATCGTCAATGATGTAATAAATGTAGAGGAAAAATAACCCCAAGAAAAAGTTAAAAAGAGAGGCTCAAAAGGTGATACTAGAGAAGAAAGAAAAAAAAAGAAAGTTATCCCGAAATCAAGGATTAGCGTATTTTACGGGGCAAGGTATGAAAGTTGCTGGGCCGAATTTAGCTACCACTGCCTTCTTGCAGAAAAAAGTGCAGTGGGATTTGAAAATCAAAAAAATATTTTCACTGCCTATTGAAATTTAAAGACACGTTACCGAAGGGCAGCCTATCTGTGCGGTCTCTTAAGTAAAGATGATAATCTGAACCAGGGTTAAAGGACGCGAATAAATACGCCTAAAAACCAGAAGAAAAGAACAGCTTTAGTTCATTACAATATTCCGATTCAGGGCCAAAGGATCGATGTCTGTAGGAGCTGTTTTCTCACAATATTTGGCGAGACAGTAAAGTTTGTATGGACAACTGTCCAAGAAAAAAAGGCTTTCCATGCTTCAACAACCACCCCAGATGAACGAGGCAAGCATATCCTTGGAAATAAAATATCCACAGACAGAATGGCTTTGGTGCATTAGTACATTGCATCTTTTCCAGCATATGAAAGTCATTACTGTCGTAAAGATACTACTAAAAAATATTTGCTACCGCTACACGCGGAAGGAAGTTTACAGTAAATATAAGCAAGAAGTAGATGACCCAGTCAGTTTAACTATTTATGGCAACGCCTTTCGTAACTCTGGAATAAAAATAAAAATCCTAAAAAGGGTACTTCTCATACACGTGGCGAAATTAAAAAAATTTTCATACGCTCAAGCTATCGAGAAGAAATTGTTACCGGAAAGTAGGAAGAATCATCACATGAAAGCTTTATTAACTTATGCAATGAAGTTGGCAGACAAGCAGCAGAGTCAGAATAACCGAATCTTTAATTCAATTGCATTTGATTTACAAGCGTGCTTGGGGAACTTCCCTTGTACAAACATCAGGGGCCTTCTATAAACGGCAATTATAAATCTGACCAACAACATGAAAACAGGAGTCGCTTCATGTTTTCTTTGGTATGAGAATATGGCAAAAAGAGGATGAAACGAGATTGCTTCTTGTGTCCATGGACTCCACCAAATAGAAAAAAATATTTCACATGTCGTTTTGTACAGCGACTCATGCACAGGTCAAAAACCTGTTGAAAACAGAATTATCATTTACAAAAAAATAACAGGCTTACCAACAACCACTGCCACTATCATTGGAAAAAAAGAGACATTTTGTCAGTATTCTGTACCTCTCGCCGGTGTATCATAAATTTTATCAAGATCTACCAGCCCAAGGTGCTTTGCTCGATCCTTTAATAAGTGACGAAGAGGACTAGCATTTTTTTATTTACCATTTTTTTATAATAATACATACACATTAGATATACCGTTTTTATTAATAGAGTTTTTGTAATAAATTTAATGTATTTTTGTGCCTTGAAGCTGCTAAAAACAAGAAATAGTATATAACTGAGTAAGTCCGTGTAATTGGTAACAAGTAAGGAAAATATTGTGCATTTTGTAACAAGTTAAGAAATTTGACTAAATTGAAAGTTCAGCTATAAAATTTTTTAAAGTTCAGTAATAACCACTATTTTGTATCGTTTTCTGAAAAAATATGAAAAAAATTATTCGAAAAAAACTCAAGAATCGTTTTTTTCGTTTCCTCAAAATCAAGTAATTTGACATGTTACCTTTTGCACTGAGGTAGTCCAATTATCACCGGTTCAATATCTTCCTGCAAATTGTCCACCGCAAACATTTTTTCTTCTATGTTTTTTTTGACGTGGTTCACATAATTATGCCACTGCTCTTTAGATACGCGTTGGTAAGCTTTTTTTATTAACTGTTTTACCGTCATTTCTTTAAAATCAACGTTTTTTGAAGCCACATACCTTTTCACTTGACTCTACTATATACTTATATGACTTGACTTGTAGAATCTTGAACAACAATAACATTATCACGTTACATTGGATATATAGATATAATTGTACTGATATCCTTAGTTTCTTGAGGGCCTGAAGATGCTGTAAAAGTTTGTAACCATTCTCTCTTTTTTAACTTTAATAAACCTATTACGGATTATGAGTAGTAGACTTATTTCCCAAGCTTCAGCACCATAAAGAAGAATAGAGTGGATATAACATTTTCCGACATTGTCCAATAGTTCAATATCTTCATTTTTTATGTAGATCCGTGTTATGACTTTACCCCTCTTACTGATAACCACGGTTTTTGTTTTATTTATGTTTATTGTTAAACCAAATTTTTCTCCAGTGTTACCAATTGTGTTTAGTAGCGTCTGCAGGCCTTTCGTCAAAATGAAGATCTACTTTCCTCAAAATGAAGACTTAACGAAGCAACCGTAGTTTTAGAATAACAACCAGGCTCAGATTTGTTCAATGCTACGTATAATATGATTGTATGGAATAGAGGCTTGGACCATTAAAATCGGTTTAATAATCCGTCTTGAGATGTTTAGATCATGGATATACCGTTAAAGTATTCTGGTTGGATCATGTCACCAATAATGAAATTTCAAGAAAAAGAAAAACAGAAACTCTTAACATAAATAAAGACTCCAAAACCAAAAATATGAGCTTCTAAAACAAATTATTATAAAAGGAAAAATAGAGGACGGCAGAGGACCTGGCCGTAGAATATCCATAATTATCATTGAAGAAACAGCATACAGATGTCTCACAAAGCATATATCAAATAAATCTGTCAAATAAATTAACTTCTGGTATTAATGTTACATGAAATATTTTTAGCAGTCTTCGTAATCATTGTTTTAGTTCAGAATTGATCTGCTAGACTTTTTTTATTTACTTTCTCTATTTCGTTACGTATAACTATTTGTGAATATTCATCGTTCGTTGACAAAACTAGCATAGTATTACGACCCTCGCAGCATCTAAATTACTTGAATAACTATTGTTTATTGTTATAAAAGACTATCGTTAAGTTAACAATGTAGGAACTAAAGACAATTATAAATTAAATAATTAACTTCAGGTATGTCTGGATGTATGTGTGATAGAATTCTTATTTCCTTTATACATTGCGTTATGTTAATCGTTTAAAACGTGTATAAATGCAGATTACCAAAGAAAGTATCAATAACTTGTATATCATATTATCTAATACATTTGTTATTTACAGGTGATCATTTACATCATGTTTATTCAATCATATTTACAGGTAATAATTTGGTTAGTATTCTACTTCGTCTTTTAAATTGAGTAAGACACTGTATCTAGATTTTAGATGTTTCCTTAGTCGACAGTGTCCACTCACTATTTCTGTGATAGTCTTTATCTCTCTCTGCTAAAATCCATTAGAATAGACGAACGGCAATGAACGAATATTGTCCGTAGTAGAAATACTACATCTCCACTCTGAGTAGCGCTAAAAGAGCTAGCACATACTGACAATTAGATAATCATTAGGATCTCCTTATCAAATAACGCTTCCAACATAATATGACGAATAAAATAAACGGTCCTTGTATGGTTCAATCAAACCTATAGTCCAAATCTACCACATCTACGTAGAAGGTATAAGCTATGCTTTAAGCCAGTTTTCATCTAAACTGTTAAAAAATGACGTTGATTTAGTCGCTATACAGGAAACCCACTACGAAACAGATGAGCGACTACAGGAGCAAAATACTGAGCTATGAACTATTGGATGCAGCTTACCACCGATCATACGCACAGCCACATATGTCAAAAAAGACATTGAAAATGCCTCCCTAATATCCACTTTTATTGATGATTGTATGTTTACCGTTGTCATAAAATCGTATTATCGTCTTCAATTTTTACAAACCACCTAGCCAGTCCAAGCAATTTATTTACAACTCCACCCTTCTCTATACGTTGGCGATTATAATAGCCTCCATGAACAGTGGAAATATAAAAATAATGATGAATACAAGCTAGACGGTAATGACTTTCCTTATCCAGAAAGCTGTAATCTATATAATGGAAACAAGCCAATTTTCCGAAGAAGTTTAAAGTTCAACCTTCTGCCCATGTTAACATTTTTTTTTCGAATATGAAGGACCTTCGGTCATAAAGTTTGCAGAACATAGAGTGAATTTAACGCAAACCAGTAGAATAAAACTTTGAATAAGCTCCATCAATAAATAAGACGAAAGCGTCCAGGACGCTGTCACGTCGTGCCATTCTTCTGCACGACGATGCTCGGCCTCATTCTGTTAAAGTAGTGAATGAAAATCTACAGCGAAAGAAGTGAAAAATATTAGAGCATCTACGCTACAGTCCCGATTTGTTGCCTGGCGATTTTCACATCTTTGGGCCACTGAAAACGGCGAAAAAGTCTGACAAAATGCCGTAAAAAATTCTTCCAGAAACAATGACAAGAAGTCTGTAAGTGGGGTATATGTATCTTACTTATAGTGGTAATTATTTGTAGACATATTTGCCAGTAATTTTTTTCTTGACCAAAAATTGGTTTTAATTAAACTGGCCTATCAGAAATGGCAGATCATACGTTTGGTCTTTATGCAACCGAGCCAAATGAGGGAGTTACCCTTAAAGAGACTTGTGGCTTTCCATGAGCCCACAAGGTTAGTAAAGGATTAGACGAACCATGTCAACCTTTTTTTAGAGAGTTTCCTTATGCTTAGCTTTGACAATGACTCTATTCCAGATTTGTATTTCTCTACAGAGATAAGCGTTTTTATTAATCTCATATGGCTGATCTGTTTTTGCATAAAATAAATTTAAAATGATAAAGAATTTGTTATATATATTTTTTGTTTATTCCCAGAAAGCTGTTTTAAAAAAGATAACAGAGTAAGAGCTACACAAAAAAAGTGATTTTAGACAAATATTTTATATATTTTTTTATTGTATACATACCTTTATATCATTCCATTCTTTATCGTGCATACTGTACTGATTTACACGTAACTGTGTACCTGCTAATGAAAACTCCGGTCATTTCGTCTTGCAGCGAACTGATTTTGAACGCCCCTGGTATAACATGATGTAACAAAAGCTGTAACAAGGTATTTTATAAAATATGTATATGGTATTTAAATGTTTTATTTTAAGGTAATGTGATTATGTGGTGGTTTTACAAAATTAAAGAAATACCAAGACAAAAGTACCTACGTAAATACGAACATAGGACCTAGGTTACCTATTACGTAAAGTATCATTTCATAAATTGTAGGGGCATGGACATTACATGTATATTCATGTAATTGAATGCAAAATACTGAGAGAATGCGTAAGATTAAGAATTAGTAAACATGTAGGAAATTTATTACGAAAATAGCAAGTGGTTAGATTGAATTCTGATTTTTTATATTGCATCGTGTCATGCTCAAGTAAGGTTTATCTATCTATCACAGTCTACGCTGAAATTTATGTAGTTTTCGTCAAAATAGAAGTAAAAGCAGTTTAATAATTTTTTTCTACATAACTTTTAACAAATATTCGGCAGAATATTAGGAATCACGTTGATCTGATCAGACGTAATTTCACAAAATTGTATTTTTCTATGAAAATGATCGTCGTAGAGCCCTTGAAGTATCTGAAGTGTATAGTGATGAATTTTTGCAATGTTAATGCTTTTCCTAGTCTACCTGTTTATACCTGTTTGTTGATAGCTCATTCGAAACGATTGAAACGATTATCGACGAAGGCAATGTTACATTTCACTGCGGCATTGCCGGATTTAAAAACAATCAGTTAACTATCAGGAAAGTTTGAAAAAAGTTAAAACATGGCATCTTATAACAAAACTACTGTTAAAGGCTTAAAAATTTATATAGAGAATGCGTTGAAACAAAAAAAAACAAAAAATAAAACAAAAAGAATACTGCAGAGCAAAGTAAAAGAGAAACAGTTATGGGTATATGGAAAGACATTTTAGGGAACTATTTAGGGAACATTTTAGGGATAAATTACACAGAATTTGATGACAATATCTGGCGAAGAAGAGGTTCAGAATATAATGAATCTCAAAAGTAAACAAGACTGGAAAAATCGAAATATTGGAGAATTACTTTTAAAAATGGAAGTGAAATGCTTCAATAAAGGGTACGTATATAACCTCATCAAAATAATATGAGAAGAGGAAGATATACTCAACAGCTGGATGGTTTTATTATGCCCTACATACAAAAATCGAAATAGATTATCATGTGAAAACCACACAGGTATGCTGTGTTGGAGCCACGGCCAATTAGAAATATCTCGAGAACTAAATATAACTGAATCATGAAAATTGAAATAAAGGGGTTTTAAAGAGTGAACTGTTTAATGAAAATATTTTCATCTATTTGCGACCTTCGGTTAGTATAATGGAAGTTGTTTAGAACTTCGTATTTTTATATAGGACATTCTGCATATTTTTTAGTTTTAGAAATATTTCGTTATTTTGAACATTTTATTAATAATTTGAACTTATCAATAATTTCTGTTAATACTTCCCTATACCTACAATGGTTTTTATATGAAAATTATACTTTTCTATCATGAAGGTGTATAAAGTTCAATATCGTCTAATGTAATTTGAATAAAAGTTTAAATTCCTTAGGAACTTATTAATCATATGCAGTTTTATCATTTACTTTACAGTATAAAGTTATCTTTTTTATTATACAGGGTGCTGTCAAAATTGGCACAAATTGACGGTTAAACATACTATTTTTTGTAAACTTCGAATCATCACACCAAATATTTTTTTTAATTATTGATCTTCTTGGCGTTTTATTTAAAACTATTCTAAAATTCTACATATATCTTACATAATCACCAGGATATAAATTTTAAGGTGATGTATATGAATAAGGGTTCCAATAATGTTTTTTCTTTAATTCTGTAAATTGTTCTAGTCGACACTTGTAACAATTGCTCGCATTTGAAATCGACTGGCTCATACACAAAGAACAATCGACTGGCTCATACGCACAGAAAACCTTAAAGGTATATATGCCTACCTTGATGACATAACTGTTTGTGGTAAGACGAAGGTAGAACATGATAAAAATCTTGAGAACTTTCTGAAGGTCACAGACAAATATGACGTGATACTAAACAAAACCAAGAGCAAATTCAATCAAACAGTAACAAACTTACTTGGTTATACTATAGGACCAAACCATGTCATAAAGCCCGATGCTAGCAGACTACAACCCTTATTAAAAATGCCTCAATCGAATGACACTGCATCTCTCAGAAGGGTATTAGGTATGTTTGCCCATTTTCCATTGAACGAAGATGCTTTATCCTGTTGAAAATCTGAAATCTATAGTTCCAAAGTCATCTGTTCACGCTATCAACGAAAGTATGCAATTTTTTGTTGAAACTGATGCTTCAGAACAATCAATTGCTGCTACCTCGAGTTAGGATTCCAGACCTGTTGCTTCCTTTTTCAAGATCACTTAACTCTAGTGAGCTGAACCAATCTGCTGTGGAGAAAGAAGCGTACGCTATTGTTGAATCTCTAAAGAAGTGGCGCCATTTTATTATAGGAAAGCCTTTCACAATCATTACTGATCAAAAGTCTGTAACATTTATGTTCAACACGAAGCATTCCAGCAAGATAAAAATGAAAATACAAGATGCGATTAAGCCTTATAAATGACATGATCGACCAAGAAAAGACAACCAAGCAGCGGATGCTTTATCGCGCATCTGCTCTTGTGCTACTACCACGGTGGCAGGTGCATCAAAACTCAAGTTACTTCACACTGCACTTTGTCATCCAGGGTAACACGTATGTTTTATTGGATAAAATCGAAGAATTTGCCTTCTCTCTCAATGAAGTCAAGACTATAACTCGTGACTTGTGTGGTATGTGCTAAATCAATCAGAGGTACTTAAAGAATGAGAGGCTTTTTCTAAAGCTTATAAAAGCCACATCTCCCTTCGAACGCCTTAGTATTGACTTTAAAGGACCAATGCCTTCGAATACCAATAATGGTTATATTGTTAAGGTAATAGATGGGTATTCCAGATTCCCATTTGCTTTCCCATGCAGTGACATTAGTGCCAAAACAGTAATCAAGAATTTAAATAACTTATTCATGATGTTTTTAATGCCTGAATACATTCATTCGGATAGAGGGACTCAATTTCTATCAGCTGAAGTCAAAGAGTTCCTCAACTTCAGAGGAATCGCAACAAGTAGAACTACTGCTTATAATCCTCAAAGAAATGGTCAAGTGGAGAAGTTGAATTCTACTGTCTGGAAAGCTATTCAACTGGCCTGTGAATCACATGAAGCATCTATTGAGACTTGGGAACAATACCTACCTGTCGTGCTGCATTCCATTCGTTCACTGTTCTGTACCGCAACTAACTGTACGCCGCATGAAAGGATGTTCGTGCACACACGTCGATCTCTAAATGGGAATACAATACCGTCATGACTAGCAAAATCTGGGCATGTCTTGATGAAAAGGTTCGATCGGAAAAACAAGTACCAGCCTATTGTAGAGGAAGTGGAGGTAATAGAGGCAAATCCTGAATATTCTTTTGTTAAACTGAAAGACGGACGGAAGACCACAGTGTCTAATCGTCATCTGGCTTCGAGTGGACGAGGTGAAAGAGAAATACTAGATATACCAGGTCAAGAATCAATGATTCCTCATCCAATACAACAACGCAAAACATGCAGCCCCTGGCAATAACCTATATCTCCTCCTCCACTGGATTTATTACTTCTTGAAGAACCCTCAATGAGTTCTGAACAGAGCTTATCGCCTCCTTCAGCACTACCTAGAAGATTTGAAATAATTCGTCATTTACCACGGTATTTAAAAGATAATAGTGATGTGATATTAACCTCCTTGGTATTGCTTTGGCTGTAGACTTCGAATATTTTAGGCAATTTTATGCTGTCAGTGTTTGAAAGAAGTCACTGTTACTGCCATGTTAATTTTATTGTTTTTGTTACCATTATGTGTACAATTTTTGTTGATTAAAACCTTATACCCTAGGTTTTGCTTTATCATTTTATTCCCGTAAGAATGAATTTTGATTAGCTGCAAAATTTTCCAAAATATTTATTTGTAAGTCTTCATTATGGACGTAGGTCTTGAACTTGTTCCTTTTAGTGACTGACAATCTGGGAACAGTTGCTCAACAAACATTACAGTTTTATGAGTTGGTCGAGGTTTTTCAGGATATCTCTCAGCAAAAATACTATTCTGTTACACTCAACGTAAATTATACTTAAATTTAAAAAATCATCATTTACATATCCTAAATGAGCCATTATTAATTTGTCAAGAAAATTAGACAAGTTATTATTATAACTGTCGCCCAAAGACATACAACAAGGTTATTATTAAGCATTAACAATAACTGACATTTGTCAGAATATTCTGCTAAAAGAAAACTGCAAGAGATAGGTATAAGTAATAGTAATACAGATCGATAGTAAGAAACATATTCTTCTTAAATAATGAATCACATACAGGGTGTCCTATTTGAAAAAAGAAAAAAATTTGGAATGCCTTCTTTACGCAAATTTTGACAGCACCCTGTATAATGAAGAAGGCAACTTTAGACTATAAACGATAAACCTATATTATTTAATAAGTTCCTAAGGAATTTAAAGTTGTATCCAAATTACATTAGAGCATATTGAACTTTATATATATCGCAGAAAAGTGTACTTTTCATATAAAAATCATTATCAATTTTCATGATTCAGTTTACCTTTAGTTCGCGAGATCTTTCTAATTCCTATTACTCATTTGTAGTAAGAGATACGAAAAAAAATATTTAGGTAAAAGTTGGAACACAGATAGGACCAAACTCTAAAAGTATTTTCATATATACAGAGTCACCCATATTGACGGGGAAAACAAACTTATCTTTTTTTATGAAACACCCTGTATATTTTTACATTTTTGGACTTTTCTCGATGTTCTCGTTTTTTTTAATATAAGGGTTGGTAGTGTTATACGGGGTATAACATCTTTATCTATTTGCTAATTCCGGTTATATTGGAAGTTACTTACAACTTCGTTTTTTTAATGGGACACTCTGTATATTTTTCAATTTTAAAAATATTCACGTTATTTTAAACAGTTTTGTTAATACTTCCCTATACCTATAGTGAACCGATTTTTGAGTTATAATGGTTTTTATATGAAAAATTATACTTTTCTACCAAATAAAGTTCAATATAGTTTAATGTAATTAGAATAAAAATTTAAATTCCTTATGAACTTATTAACCATACACAGTTTTATCGTTTAAAGTTTTCTTTTTCATTATACAGGGTGCTGTCAAAATTGGTACAGAACCGGCATGCTAAATTTTCGCCTAATTCCTGTTTTTAGTGGAACATCCTAGTATGTAAAACACTACCAAACCTTATATTAAAAACACGTGAACAGTGAGAAGAGTTTAAAAATGTAAAAATATACAGGGTGTTCATTAAAAAAAAAGATAAGTTTGTTCCACCTAGTAATATGGGTGGCCCTGTATATTTGAAAATATTTTTAGAGGATGGTCCTATCTGTGTTTCAACTTTTATCTAAATATTTTTTTCGTATATTTTACGACAAATGAGTAATTTGACTTCCTCGCACTAATTCCGCACCCTGTATAGAAACGAAACATTATACTAAACATTAAAAAATGAAACGATGGAAAAAACAAGACTTTAAAAAGTTTGTATACAATAATTGGTCCCAAAAAAGTACTAATGAAATGATATAATCGTAACGAAAATCAATAATTCCTTGCTTACCCCACTGAGTAGTCTTGGATTCTCCTTAAACTTCTCTTCGGCTTTTTCAGGTCCTCCAAGCTGAATTAATAAAGTCCTGAATGCCTTGTCTGTGGGTACGAATACTGTATACGGGCCTGTTTCGTTTAAAATGGTATCCAAACCTGACTGTCTTAAAAATTTCGACATTGCAAACAAATTATTCTTCTTTAAAATTTCTGGTAGCTCGAATGAATGTTTTTGATTTTCCGGGGAGCTAAAGGTTTCTTGAATGGGAAATAGATTTATTGGAGAGACACTTTGTTGAACTGTGATTTCTGTAGGATTAGGGGTTAATAAATTCTTGTTGGGAGCTGATTGAACAGTGGAAGCTTGATTAAGTAAGTCGTTTGCAGCATTGTTTAAAATATGTGGAGTCCGAGTAGACTTTTTTTGTTCAGTTGTTGTGCTAGAAAGAAAATATGTGGCTGGAGTAGAAGAAGCTATTATTTTGGTTCCTATGTTAGTTTGTAAAGCGGGTACATCACTTTCCTCGTTTTCGTAAGTTTGAGTATGCTGGAAAAAATTTGGTTCTTCAGTGGCAAAAGAATTTGGTGTAATGGTAGCATAAACTGGTTTTAATGTGGGAGAATAATTTGTTTTCAAAGTGGTTGAAATAACTTCAGGTTTTTTAGTTGTTGTTTTTGTTGGTTGTTTTAGATTATCAGGTAATTTTATCTCACCTCTTTTTATCTTGCTCAAAATAGCATCTACGTCAACTGTTTTGTCCTTATCATTGCCTTTAACTCCTTGAACTTTTAAAGTTCCATCACTTTGTTCTTCTAAAAGAACAAATGTTACCTTTTTCTGGTTGGGTAAATTTTTACCTATACTTTCTAAACCTCCACTAGCACCTGTTTTTAATAGTTCAAAATTTGAGGAAGGCACGCTTTTAGTAAGTTCGTCTAATATTTCGTTTGGAGGTTTTTCAGTTGTGGTAGTTGTTCTTGAAAAAACTAATTTTTCTAAATCACTGCCAGGTTCTACCATAACACCATCTGGTACTGAACTAGGATCTGATGTCCTAATCAGCTCAACCTTTTGACCGTTAGGGAGCACTATTTCTTCTATTGGTGTAGGGGAACCTGAATTTGGATTTCTAGCTTTTATCAGTTGTGCTTTTTGTCCATCTGGTAATGTAATCTCTTGAGAAATATCGCCAAAGCCTTTTGATATATTTGGTATAGCATTAGGATCAGTGGTCCTAATAATTTTGACTTGATGGCCACTCGGTAAAGTTACTTCTTCATCACTTTTATTAACGGGATCATCAGCTCGAATGACTGTAACTTTTTTACCGTCTGGTAAAGTTATTTCTTCTTCTTTTCCTCTTGGAAGTTTAGTTTGATCATCGGCAGGTATTAGTTGAATTTTTTTTCCCATTAGCTAAAGATATTTCCCTGGAAGACAAAACTTTTCCACTTTCATCATCGGAATTTCTACCAATAGCTAACCTAAGTTGCTCTAGTAGATCATCTTTACGTATCCTCTGCGATTTATATTCTTTTTGGAGTTGATCTAAATCATCCAGGGATTGAATGGTTTTTACTTTAGATTGGGGTAGAGCAGTTGGCAAAAAACTTACTCCTGGAAGTAATTTTTCTATTTTCTTCGTGGTAGTTGGTTTAGGAGTAGTAGTGGTGGTAGTCGTTGTAGTGGGGTATTGAATGTAATATTGTTTAACTGCTTGTTCAAATAAATTAACTTCCTCTGGATAAACCAATCTTGGTGCTGTCAGAGATGAACGTGGTTCTGAGGAAGATGTTTTATATAGTCGTTGATACAATTGTTTCTTTTGATTTCTTTGTTTATCGATAAAATCTTGATGTTCTTCCTGTGCTTTTTTAAGTGCTTTTTCATATTGCTTTTCAACGAATTGGTTATGTTTTTCTATTATTAATTGTTTCTCCTTTAACTCCTTGATTCGCTGTTTGTTTTTTTCTGGATCAAGTTGTTTAATTTGCTGATCAATAACGTCCAATGGATCCGGTGTTGGTCTTGGTTGAACAAATTGCGGTCCAAATGAAATTAACTGCCTAGCTGGTAAAAAATTGGTTTGTGTGTGGTGCTGAACAATTTTAGGAGTATCGGTAGGTTGTTGATGTTGGTTTGGAAATACAACTTGACTAGACGCTGTTTGAGCTGTTGGCGGGGATATTTGTTGGAAGGTTTGTTGTGGTGTTGGGACTACATTAGAAGGTATCGATTTTAGTAGGGGTAAAGTGTTTAAAAACTCATTTCGAGCAAAATTCTCTTGAGTATTCGTAGATAGTGGGCTTTGTGATACGAGCTGTTGTTGATTTACAAAAGGTTGGAACCTTTGTGCTGTTTGAAGATTTTGGCTGCTTTGAAAGTGCTGAGGTTGAAAATTTTGTCTGTTCTGTGATAAATCAAATCTATGTTGGTGTTGTTGAATATCACTAAGTATCTGCCCTTGTTGTTGAGGTGAAAGTCGACTGGTTCGGTCTGCGTTGGGTGCGAACTGCTGAAAATAGAGGTTAATTAGTTTATTAAATTCTAAGATGTTTCCTATTTTAATTATTATAATTACATAGATAATATCACAGAATATAAAACGATGTTAGCATTTTTCACTTTTATGGGAAAAATGAACAATGTATAACTTATTAAACGGATATTTGTGAGAAAATATATACAAGGTAATTGAAACACCGTATTTATAAATACTTTGAAATTATTTAAGGTTAAACGAAAAAAAGTAGTGTTTTGGTGATTATGTTTACTAATTATGAACATAACAATAAAAATAACTTTAAGACAATTGCTTAATTTCAGTGAAATAACAATACTAACAATCAACAAAGTTTATATAAAATTTGAGATCAGTCAAAACTACATTTATTATTTTCTTAATAGTTTTCAATATAAGTAGACTTACCGGCACAACATTTTTAAAATTCTACTTTTCATTAAGAATTAAGATTTTAAGGTTAAGATTAAAAATATCAACCAAATTAAACATATTCTAGATATTCTAAATAAAACCTCAACATATAAAAGTTAACCATAAATACTTAGGAATATGGATAACATCAGATGTAGACCAAACCAAAGAAATTAAGACAGGTATTGAAATAGCACGTACATCATTCATTAAACTTAAAAAGTTTCTTTGTTGTCAGGATATAAGGTTAGAACTACGTCTGAGAATGTTTCGATGTTAGGTGTTCTCTACTCTTCTTTATGGCTTGGAAGCGTGGACACTAAAACAAGTCCATCTGAATAAGTTGACCGCCTTTGAATTTCGGTGTTGCAGAAGAATCCTACGAATATCACGGATTCAAAGAATGTCAAACGTGGAAGTAACTAGAAGGATAGGAAATGAAGCGGAAATAATATTAACTATTAAAAGACGAAAACTTGAGTACTTAGAACATGTGATGGGAGGGCAAAAATACGCATTATTACAAGTTATTATGCAAGGCAAAATCCGAGCAAAGCGAAATGTAGGAAGACGAAGCATATCCTGCTTAAGAACTTAAGGGAATGGTTTAAATGCAGTAGTGCAGAACTTTTTAGAGCGGCAGTCAACAGAGTCTGCATAGCCATGATGATTTCCAACCTTCGATAGAAGATGGAACTTAAAGAAGAAGAAGAATATAAAAGTTATCATCTTACCCTTAATTCCATATACAACTATGTTGTGCACTTTCAATTAATTTCATTCTGACTTTAGGTACAATAAAGGCTGCATCTATTGTTGTTTTGATATAAAAAGGAAAAGGTAAGTTGACGCGCATAACAGATTCGGGGTTTCACATACTACGGTAGAATGTGCATTTGCACGTTTTATATAGACATTATATATATTGTACGTCATTGATCTTACCTTACAATCATAGTAAGCTATATTTTTAGCAATTTTCGAAAAAATGAATTACCGTGAAGTAGTAAAATTTCTGATTAACAATATTTGAATCATCAATTTGTATAATTAATTAGCAATATTTCAACTGTATCGTTTCAAGAACAAAATATGATTGAAATGTTAAATTCTACATTCTTTACAATAATGAAATTTTAATATCTTACACTTCATCTTTCCTTACACGGTACAACCAAACTATCTACAAATTTAGCCAAACTGTTCTAAAATTACATTAATGGAATGACAACCCCAGAGGAGTGGAAGATATCATTCGTATCCACTATATACAAAAAAAAGGCAAGGGGGATGAATGTGACAATTACAGAGGCATTGCCGTGACAAACTCGGTCAGTAGAATATACGGAAAAGTTTTTAAAAAAGAGATTAGAAGCGAATATAAAGACTTAGAGGCTGAGGAACAGGCAGGATTTAGGGCAGGTAGATGTAATGTTGACCATTTGTTTTGCTTTACATAGATTATTGAAAAGAAAATAGCCGTTAATCAAGAAGTATATTTATTATATGTAGACCTACGAAAGGCTTATGATAGCGTGTCATATTATAAATTATGGAAAGCATTAGAGAAAACAAACATAAGCATGAATTTTAATAAATGCGACGAATGAGCTGTACGCTGATGCTAACTCAAAGGTAAAGGTTGGAAATAATCTGTCAAGTGGATTCCAAATGAATAAAGGCCTTAAGCAGGGCTGCTGTCTCTCCCCGACATTATTTAAAATTTATTTAGAATAGGCTTTAAAACTGTGAAAACGCAAATGTAAAAATATGGGAGTGCCGATTAACAACAATAGCATATACACTTTGTCATTTGCAGATGATCAACTAGTGATAGCACAAGATTATGAAGATATTAAGTATATGTCTCGAAAATTAATCGAGGTGTATAAAAAAGGGTGACTTGAAATCAATATCCAAAAAAAAGTATATGTGTATCGGCGGGAAACAACAGGATCTCATATTGGAAGATGGAGAAGTTATCAAACATTGCAACATATATAAATATTTAGGTAAGATCATTACAAAAGAAAGCAACGTAGACGACACGTTATTAAAAGTATAATTACCTACAGTAGTGAAGTATGGCAAATAAAGGAAAGATACAAGAGAAAACTTCAGGCAACGGAAATGGATTTCTGGAGACGTTCAGCTGGAAATACTAGACTAGAAAGAGTAACGAACAACAGAATGAGAAAAATTATGAAAGTAAAACATACAATAGTAGACGATATTGGTACCCAACAACTGAAATGGTACGGTCATGTACAGAGAATGTCTCAAGAACGTCTCCCAAAACAAGTCTTGATGCTTCGTCTTCAATTAAATTTCCCATTAAAGAAGGTGAGTTTAACTCTCACTCTCAAGAAGGGTAGTTTAACCTACCGGGCAATAATGCTATTGACTGTAGCATATAAAATACTGTCAAATATAGTGTATGACCGATTAAGACCATATGCAGAACAAATAATTAGGGGATATCAATGTGGTTTCCAATCAATTGGTATCAACAGAATATGCAATCAAACAAGCAAAAAGTGGTAAGGCCCCGCGTCCTGATGAAATTCCCTTAGAACTGCTCAAACTTATGGACGATGAATCTATTAAAATACTCCTATATCTATTTAACACAATATATAGAACTGGAATAATACCTAGGGAATGGCTCCGTTCGACCTTTATACTACTGAAAAAAAAGGCAAATACAAAGGAATGCAACGAATATCGTACGATAACTTTGATGAGTCATGCTCTAAAACTGTTCTTAAAAATAATCCATAATAGGATCTATAGGAAATTAGACTTAGACATCAGTAACACTCAGATGGGAAGGGAGGCTCTGTTTGCAATGAACGTTCTCTCACAGAGATGCTTACGCAGAGACATGAACCAAGAAATTTACGCCTGCTTTATTAATTTCGAGATGTGGTGCTATAGGCGCATTCTCAGAATATCATGGATGGACCGCGTCACTAACACGCAAGTACTCCAAACTTTAGACACAAGATGCGAAATTCTAAATGAGATAAAAACTAGAAAGATAGAATACTTGGGGCACATTGTGAGAGGTGAAAAGTACGAACTTTTAAGAAACATCATGCAGGGCAAAATTAAGGGCAAAAGAAATGTGGGAAAAAGAAAAATATCGTGGCTTCGTAATCTACGTGAATGGTTCGGGTGTAGTTCGATTGAACTTTTTAGGCGCGCTGCTAACAAAGTCGCAGTGGCCATGATGATTTCCAATCTCCGCTAGGAGTTGCACGAGAAGAAGAATGTGGTTTCCGCAGGCAGAAGTCCACAATAGATCAGATCTTCGTCTTGAGGCAAATCTTGGAAAAGACTAGTGAATTTAATGTAGACACACATCATCTTTTCATTGACTGTAAGAGTGCCTATGATAGTGTCCATCGGGAATTTCTGATCCATGCACTGAAAGAGTTTAACATTCCAACTCAACTCATTGATATAGTAAAAGAAACACTTAAAGTACAAAGCAAAATTCGAATTCAAAACTAACTAACAGATCCAATCCATGTGAGAACGGGCCTACGATAAGGAGATGCCCTACCCTGTATTTTAGTCAACATTACATTAGAGAAAATAATTAGTGAGTCAAAAGTCAACACCAGAGGAACAATAATAACAAAAAGTGTACGAATATTGGCATTTGCAGATGATGTTAATATCATAGCTAGAAGCGAAAAAAAGATGATGGAAGCATTTAATGCGATAGAAGAGCGGCACAAAACAGTGGCCTAAACATTAACAAAATAAAAACCAAATACATGAAGGCCAGTAAATCGACAGGCCAAAGAAACCTACAGAATCTGACAATAGGAGACTATAACATCGAAAGCGTGAAAAGTTTTACATATCTAGGTTCACTAGTTACCGCAGATAACAATATCAGTGAAGAAGTTAAGAGAAGAATACATATCGCTAATAAAACGTATAATGGACTTATTAAACATCTAAGATCTAACAACATCACAAGAAAAACCAAATGTAAAATATACAAGACTCTGATAAAACCGGTCCTTGTATATGGATCAGAGACATGGATACATTCGAAAAGCGACCGAGATCATAACATCCATAAAGTCATCCATAAAGTCGGACGTCTGCGCTGGATGGACCATGTTGAACGGATGTTGGAGACTGAAACGCCAAAACATATAATGAGGCAAACACCAGTAGGAGAAGGTCAAAGGAAAGACTCAAACTTGGATACATGGAACAAGTGGAACAAGATCTGAAAAAACACTTAAGATTACCAACTGGAAAAACAAAGCAAAGAACAGAACAGAATGGCGGAAAATCCGAGAACAAGCCAAGACCCAGAAAGGGTTGTCGGGCTACTGATGATGATGATGAAGGTGAGTTAAAGCGTAAACTGTAAACCTTATACCTGTCTGTATTTATAATATTCGTGGGTAAAGTACATTGATAGAATATCAGATTTTCAAGAGATCAGGAATATTTTTTGTTTTTTTAGAACGTATTTCAGCTAATTAAACGTCGCTTATATTATTCTTATCCTCAAATGTTAACAGTGAATAATTTCCAATGAGCCGAAA